CTTGTCACTTTGAAATCCCAAGTGGGCTTGGAAATTTCACAAATCTGCGTACGCCACCAACCCTCGCCTCCGAAGGCCTTGGGTTGCAGGTTTACGCCACCACGCCAGGACCCACTTGCTGTACTTCCCACCTTGCCTCACCTTGCGTCGGAGAACGGAATGTGACATCACGGAATCTCTTCTGAAGTCTCGCTAATAGGCCTCTTATCCACTTGGGGTAGCACACCCTTTGTTTGACATGCCCTGCGGAAAGTGTTTATCACGTGCCAATCAAACCAACGTGTTTTAGTCCTCGGGCATGGAACTGGCAAGGTTCAGAATAACCTCCTGCAGTGGACGGCGACTGGGCCGTAGCAAAGCCACGCGGCGATGTGGATTCCTACGCTCACGACGCGCCGAGTTGTGCACGCATGAATCGATCATTTGGGATTTGCGCAAATTATATGCTAGTGCTTAAAACGGAAAGGCTCAGCCCTGTAATTGCTTGCTCCCGCCACTGCTGGCGGTATGGCCTGCACTAGAGGGAGCTCTAGAGAGCCCCTCTAAGAGGGTATTTGGCCTACTCTTCCACGCTGGCCTGAGGTCTTGGCAGAAGCGGGCGTCGCCACACTTTGCCCCACCTCACGTCACCTGCTGACTGATGGAATAATCCAACCTCAGTATAAAAAAGTAACTCGTATGACATAACACATTTTTCGATTTAAAGCTTTCGTGACTGCAGGGATTCATCTTCTTGGTTCTTTCAGTAAAGTCAAGTAGATAGTTCTAGATTTGAAGCTTTCGTGACTACAAGGATTCATACTCGTTGTTTTTTTCGGTAAAGTCACGTAGGTAAAATACGTGACTTTACCGAAAGAACCAAGAAGATAACACATTTTGCCGTACATTTTTTTGGCAATCATTGGACGACCGAAAGCGACACCATCAGCTGTCCGTGCGCTGAGAACGCTTGGTTTAATCACGGGCAGCTGAGACGTGGCTGCGAACCGAGGCCTCGGCTCGGTGCTCTGACACTGCCACCCCTGAGCAACCTGGCCAAGTTGTGTATTTTGTTTTAACTTTACTCGGGTACATCCACTGGCGCGCACATGCTCCTTGTGCAAGGCTATCGAACGCGCTCAAGAGAAGCGCTGCTTTTTGTGGGTAATTAACGCGACCGGGACAATTTGACCTTGCCGGATTTCAGTCGGGATGCTGGGGTTAACACCGCTGATGTTTACGCGAGACATTGACACGGCGTCTTAAATGTAACAAGAGTTGGGACGGTCCCGGTTTTTATGGAAGACGATGATTCCACAGGGAAGGTGTCCTCCTGCGATGATATCCCCTATGAATGCACTCAGTGTCGTGTGACATTGGGTGCAGAGGTTGGACGCGCGGCGACCACCGTTGCATTCCAGGTTGTTGCAGCGGCCGTGAGGCTTCGTGGTTTGGTAGCAGGGAGCAGTGCAGCAAAATCCTTTGTTGTGCCCGACTTCTACGCTCCCGTGTCCACCCGCTAGCGTATCCGTTCCCCACCTTCACCTTGGCTGCACCGACCAGCGGAGTGAAGTATAGACAAAGGACCACCACGACTAGCGTGGGTGTGGGGTGACCCTCATCCAGCAGTGGATTGACGGAGTGCTCTTTGCATGACACTCGCTGGCTTACTTTTCATCAGCAACATCGACAACACCAATATGATACATCAACAACAACAGTAATTTATCAACATCAACACGAACGATTTGACATATAAGAGCAAATTAATCTACCTTTGCGATTGAGAAAAACTGCAGGGCTTTGAAAAAAGTATTAAGTGCAAAACATTGGTGTTGAATGAACAATAACACGTCTGTTATGTGATAATAAAAGACCGGAATGATTTTTCAAACGTTACAGTAGAATGAGACTGTTGGTAACAATCATTTACAGCCCTTTGTCAAGCCCCTGCTGGATGAAAGCCTCCTCATGCCATGCTAGAGTCATAATGGTTGTTGACCATACTTCACCACGCTGGTGAGTTTGTGGTTTAATGAAGGGAGAGGCTCAGAGCCAGTTCAGATATCACAGCGTCACCGACTTGAGCAATGGTCGGGAATGGAGAGCCAAGGTCACGAGGTGCATAGCCCGGTGTGCAAACTGATGCACTACCACTCCCTCCCACTATTTGATAATCATATGTAATACGTGCTTTTAATGTTACTCTGTCATCTGCGTTTAATATTCGACACACGTGTGCGCTTAATAGCATTTGTTTGTTAAACTTCCAGAAATGTAATTTAGTTAGACAAACAATGCCAATGCATTGGTTGATTTAACTATCATATTACATGAGTCATAAATTCCTGTACAACTTGCACACACAATGCATCTGGGCGCCGAGCCTGAACTAACTCATATAAACTGTTTACTAGTTGAGAATGTGTTTCATATTATAGCCATTGCTCTTAGTAACATAACACAAGACACCAATGCAGCTTGGATTTGCAAAGCATCGAATTGCAACCGTGTCTCAGGATGCTATGGAGTTTTAAGAGGAGGCATGGGTAATTGAGGATTGTATTTCGGTGGAGGAAATGACCGTTAGAAGTTTCGAGGCCAGAGAGAGAATTGAGATGGGCTTACAGTAGGCGTGTGTATCCAGACAATTCACCTAGAGTGTGGGAGAGAGGGCGGCATTCACGGGCAGTGGAGAAGAGGGAAGGGCCCGAGCCTGAACTTGAACAGGGGTAGACTCTCAGCAGTGCGGACAGCTAAGGGAAGAGAATGTCAAACAAGCCGGGGCAGCAGCTGAAAAGGAGCGTCTTCCCATTGAGCGAAGGTTGACTGATAAGCGGAGGGCACACGAAACAGAGTAGAGTAATCCACTCATTCGTTCGCGTGCTGCACATGGCAATGCAGTGACAGACCGATCGTGCTTGACCCATCATCGCCTGTAGCGTGGCCGTATGGCTGAATAATAAACACTGCATTTGGCTGGAGGTGGCATTAATTTCCATGAATGGTCACACTGGTAAAACGTTTTCTCCACCACCAAATACATTCTGTTTGAATGTAATTCATGTTTTTATTTTTTCCAAATGGAAAGTGGCCGTGGAGGCTGCCGTGTTGTGTTAAGAGAGCCCACGTGTTGAGTTGACGATGATGGTGGTGGTCCAAAATGTGGTCGCTATTGACAGCACACACATGCATACACAAAGATCCCCCTGTAGCCTTTAGAGACTGTTGGGGCAAGTTCTGTTCGCGAGAGCAGCCGGGATACGCTGGCATGAGGGAGTGGTGTGGCCAGAACCACACCCTCAGTTTCCCCAGTGCCGATGTTGACACACCACACCAGTTATTCATCAACCAAGGAGAGGCCCAGGTCCAGTTCAAATAATCGCCACTGTTATTGGCCATAAGTGGGAATCGAATTCGGGTTTATGGGTTCAGAGGATGGTGCGCGAACCACTGCACCGCCGCTCCCCACAGAATGCAGCGTACACAGTTCGGCATATCCACAAACAGCGCTCGCGCGCACATAGAGCACACTTGAGCACAACACGCACGCAGCTTATGCTCATACACAGTGCGTATGCATATTACACACAGCACACACACACGCACAGCCCGAGGCGGCAAAACGAAGGGCCTGAATTTTGACACCAGCCGAGTGACGTTCTCTGCCGACTACAGGTGGCAGTCGGGCCAGGTGGCCCCGACCCCAAGTCACAGGCAGTGAAGTAGGTTTGCTTTAAAGCCACTCCGCTCACTTTCATGAAAAATTCAGCGTTTGTACGATTAATGTCAGCGTCGGAGTCAGGGCAGTTATTTGTTGTTGTATATTTTTTGCTTCTTAAAAAAATAAGGGAGGTCTTTTGTTGTTAAAAATAAAAAAAATGTTGGACTCGCTTTATAGACGGCATGGCCGTCCGCTCGCTCGTGGTCGCCTTTCGCGGCGGGCAACTACACCGGCCTATGGTCTCACGTGCTGCCCGCACCCGTGGCTGCGTGCCCACGTACGTGGGTGCTTTAGTGCATGCCCGCGTGCGTGGGAGCATGGGAGCATGAGAGCGTGGAGGCATGGATACATGAGAGTTTGGGTGCGGGGGTGCTTGAGAGTTTGGGTGCGTGGGTGCGTGCGTGCATGCGTGGATGGGTGCGTGGGTGCATGCACTCGTGTGGCGAGGTACAAGCCGTGTTCATCCATTTGCCCGGTGCTTCTCTCTGTCGTGACCTGCTGAGCAACACGGATCGCGCTATTCTAGGAGATTTACGCGTGCCGTGGCATGTGCGTTCTATATTTGGGCGACCGCGCGCTTGCCCTGTTCCAATGCCTCCCCAACCACCCCCACCATGCAAATCGTATGGTGCGTGGCGACCGAGTGCATTGGGTTTGCTGAGGGCGAGTGCTATCTGGCGTTTGTTAATGCGCCGATCGGATAGGGCGGGTGCGATGCTTTGACGCAGCCTTATGAGGTCGGGAGATTGCTTGGGAGGCCCGCGACGGACGCAGCTGCCCCTATCGTCCGTGGCTTCCTTCGCGCTAAATCCCAAATTGGCATTTCCCAGCGAGAGAGCGGCCACTTCACGTGGGGCCGGTCCCGCCCCGTGCCGCTCCGCACCGAAATCAAACGCTCGGGCGAACGTTTCCAGTCGCCACACGTTCCCACGTGTTGCACCTCTGGCAGTTCATCTCGCGATCCCTCTCTCAGACAGTTTTTCTGCGCCGCACTTAAGGTGCAATCACACCCAGAGCTAAAGGAACTCGTGGGCTAAAGGTTTTATGGTATTGACTTTAGTTGTTTTTCTGTTTTACGAGACACATTCACTGTCTTGCTTTTCGTCCCCCGTTTACCCCCCCCCCCCCCCCCCAGTGCTGTTTGCGAGCTCGCCCTGCCGTGCCGCAGCTCCCGAGGGCCCGTGGTCGACCCGGCGGGCTCCGGCCCGAATCCGGCCCCGGGGGGCCTGCGCTGGGATGGGGAGCAGAGCAGAGGGGAGGGGCGGAGTGAAGGGAGGGGGGAGGGCAGGGGGGATGGCGGCGGCGGCGGCGGCGGTGGTGGCGGCAACGGCGGTGGCGGCGGCTTCAGACAGGAAGGAGGGAGGGGGGGCGCGGGACGGCACGCGGCCGCGGGAGCCGGCGGGGGTCGCACGGGAGGATGTTCGAGCGAGACGGGGAACAGCAGCGAGTCCGACAACAGCGGCTCGGCCTCCGAGTCGGGGTCGGGCAGCGCCAGCAGCTCCAGCGAAAGCGACGACGAGGACGACGAGGATGACGACGACGAAGAAGAGGAGGACGAGGAGGAGAGAGGAGCAGAGGTCAACCCCGGCCGCGTCTCCCCCGAGGTGAGTCGGGAAAGCGAGTCCTGGCCGCTTGGTAGGCCAGCAGAATGGCCGACACGGCAGAGGCCTCTCACGAATCGCCTGCCGCGGCGTCTGTCTTGCGATTCATCAAGCGGTCAAAAGAAAATTCCGCAAGATGAGAGAGATGCCATCCGCTGGCGGTGCTTTGACTTATTGTTGATTGGTATCCTATTTAGTTTTCGTGCACGCGAATGCCAAGTCTTATTATTTCCAGACACTCGTGATGCTGCTGCGAGCGGGTAATATTGAGTGCCTCGTCTGAATCCGCCTGTGCCCCCCCCCCACCAACCCCCTCCCAATGCTAAAGAACGCCCATTCCCTTGGGCCAATGAGCATAAATTTAGATGGTACAGTATTTTACGCAGGTTCACAATGAGAGGGACACCAGTGAATGTCGTCCATTTATAGCTACGTCGGGTGGAAGCGGTTAAGCGCAGCACTGTGAATCCGGCGACCCGCGTGTGATCTGGCCGTGGCCATCGGCGGTCGCGAGTGACGTCACAACTGGGCGCCCCTGCGCCGTCCCCAAGCTGCGTGGAACCAGCATGGTTAAGTACGGTCAAGAAAATAACCCCCCGCGATCCAACACGGTGTTGGGAGGCCTTTATCCATCCAGCGGTGGATGATTAAAAAGCTCGAATAAATTTGACAGATAATCATTTGCTGTAATTGTCCGGCCGTCAGTGACGGTGTGACATCCCGGATGATGTTATGATGTCACAGCTGATGGTGTGACATCCCGGCTGACGTAGCGACGTCTCGGCTGACGGTGTGACATCCCGGATGATGTTGTGATGTCACAGCTGATGGTGTGACGTCTCGGCTGACGTAGCAACGTCTCAGCTGACGGTGTGACGTCTCGGCTGATGGTGTGACGTCTCAGCTGACGGTGTGACGTCTCGGCTGACGGTGTGACGTCTCAGCTGACGGTGTGACGTCTCGGCTGACGGTGTGACGTTTCGGCTGACGGTGTGACGTTTCGGATTCCCCTGTTGCATGCAGCCGGATCCCCCTCTCCGCAACAAGTGGCAGCTGCAGCCGTACCTGAACAAGGTGACGCCGCTGGGCGGAGGCCGCGGGTCCCCGGACTCGCCTTGCGGCCTGCTGGGCTCCCTGACCCCGGCACTGGTGCTGCTGCCCAACCTGAGCCAAGCTCAGCTGAAAGGGCAGGCCCAGCAGACCTCGGGGCAGCAGCAGCCGCAGCCGCAGCCGCTAGCCCGCACGCCGCCGGTGGCGACCGTGTCGGTGGCGTCCGAGCCGGAGCGGCCCGGCGCCGGCGAGCCGGCCGTAGAGAGCAGGACTCAGCGGCAGTGCCAGGTGGAGGCGGAGGCGGTGCCGGTGCCGGTGTCGACGCCCGCGCCGCACAGGATGACGGGGCAGAAGCAGCCGAGGAGCAGCGTGGACAGGGGGGGAGCGACCGCCGGCGTGGAGGTCGGACCGCCCAAGGAGACGACAATGCCCAGGAACGGCCTGCTGGTTCACTCGGATACGCCGTCGGGTTCTGGCTCCGGCGGGGTTTTTTCCAAAACGGAGCCCCCCCGCGGAGCATGGAAAAAGCCAAAACTTGTACAGCCCCCCAGCGAGCCAGCGACGAGGGGGAGGCCCCGGGGTGTGGGCCGGGGGAAAGGCGCCGCCAGGAAGGAGCCCAAACCAATGTCCCGCCCGGCGGTGTCCGACAAGGACCGTAAGCGGCAGCGGGCCAACGGCAAAGTGGCACCGATTTCTGTCGAGTTCGTCCACTCCACTTCCTGTTCTTCGGATTCAGACTCAGACTCGGATAGTGACAGCCCCACGGCTAAAGCGCGATCGCCCCCCTACTGCGAGCTGCCCGGAAGCGAGACCAAACCCCCGGGCCCTGGCCGGAGACCCGCCGGGACGGTGACTATCGAGCCGAAGGTCGAGCTCTTCATGTCCCCGATCCCGACGATGGAGTCTACGCCGCTCTCGCCGCTGCGCGAGTCCAGAAGGAGCAGGACCGTCCACGCGCGGACGAGAGACAGCGAGCGGAGAGGCAGCGAGAGCAGCGATTTCCTCTCCCCTCTCCGCGACGGCGAGCTGCTGCTCTCCCCGCTGCGCGACAACGACGGGAATGGCCGGCTCGCGCCCGACTCCGGCGCCGGCCGGAACGCCAACGCCCGCTCCCCGTGGCGGCAGAGGCCCCGGCGAGAGAGCGAGACGAGCAGCGGGCCGCTTTCCCCGCCGCTCGACTGCGACGGCGCCGAGCGGCGGGGGCGCGCGCACTCCTCCGGCCGGGGCGGCGACCGCGAGACGGAGCGTCCGCCGGCGCCGCACGCCGGCGGGGTCCGTTCTCCGCGGCCCGCGTACGAAGGCCGTCGCAGCGCGTCGCCGACCCCGGCGGGTGCCGGCGACGGCGGGACCGCGACGTCGTTGGATTTGCCGGAGCCGGCCGGCACGCTGCTGGTGCGAGTTGACCTCTCGCTGCTGACGCACGTGCCGGGGCGCGGGCGGTCGCGCGAGCGGGGTGGGGACGCCGGACGCCGCTCGCAAAGGGACGGCTCCTCCTCCGCTGACAAAGCTGCGCTGCCTGCGCCGCCGGCGGCGGTGGTGGCGGCGGAGAAGAGGAGGCACGAGGTGAGGCATCGGGCCACGTGGTGACCTTTGTCTTCCAATCGATCCTGGGGTCTTCCTCGCCTTCCTTTTGTTTCTCCCACGCCCTGTATGACGGATGTTGGATAACGCCCCCCTCGACACGTCACGTGTCCAAACACATTGTAGCTTCCTTGTTTTCGCTTTTATCAACATCTGTCCATCGTGATATCACACTGTTTCTGTGATTTCGGCTGGAACCGATACATTTGGGCAGTGAATCGACTCTTTTGCTCCGACGAATTAGTCAGCATAAGTTGACGTGGCATGTGTGCGGGTATACGTATTCGCGTGTCAATGCTATTTTCCCTTAGGTTTCTGGCCCGGAGGTAAAATTTAGGGCTTCTGAGCGTTTCAATGTCTAGTTGGGTCGCTCGGAATACCTCGTCCCATCCATTTCTGGCGCTTATAATGTCCTATTTTTGGTGTATAGCTCCGCTGTTTTCGAATTAACGACGTAAATTTTGCTGAGATGACAGTGTCAGTCACGTTGAAGGCGACACAGAAATACGTGACAGGTGGCCCACCACAGGGAGCTCGGACTACGGTGATCTACTCTGCAACCCAAACTGTGGACCGTAGAGTCAACCGCTGTCGGCTGTGCTCCTTCAGCGGAGTAGAAGGGATAAACAAGCAAAAAAACTACGCAAACTCTCCGCTGATGCCCTCTCATCACGGCCAGCAGACCTCGACATTGGCATTCAGCTCCTGACCCCACGTTGCTGCCGTCGTGGACGCCGGCAACGTGGAACGTACTGGCACGAAGGCGGTCGCGTGTTTTTTCGCCCTAAGAGCCCTGCGCCTGCGTCTTGTGGCCGTCAGTCGGACAGGTCGACGAGCCGGGAGAGCCGCGGCGGCGACGGCAAGAAACCCCGCACGGACAAAGACTCCTCGTCGAACCAGCATGGCGCCGTCAACGGAGCGCCGCCCGATCGCCACAAGCACCCGCTCTCCAGCAGGCAGTACGTCTCCCTGCCGGCGCCTCCACGGCGCGCCGCCCGTGCCGGGGGGAGGGAGAGCGATCGCGCGTCTGCATGTCGTTGTCGCTGCATGCGAGAGTAACTGATCCTCGCACGCACGATTCGACGTGTGTATCGTGACCGTAATGACAAGTTTCTTGGAGTGCAATCATTGTAACGACCGAAACGGCGCGTCATGTGACTCTGCTATGAATGCGGCGTGTGGCTGACAGGCAAGTGCACACAATCGCCGCTCTCTCTGTAAGTTAACGGAGTGAATATTGACGACTGTCGCGCGTCTCCCACCCAGGTCCTCCAAGTCGCTTGACAAGAAGCGGCACACCACCTCTGCCATGACCACCTCCACCTCCTCCTCTTTCTCGACCGGCCACTCCTCCTTCCGGTCGCCTAAATCCGGCCACCCCGACGCGGCCCCGCGGCACAACGGAGCGAGCTGGCGCGCCAACGCTCCCGTCGGCGTCAAGCGGCCTGGGAGCTCGCCGCCGCCCGTTGCCGGGGCTACTGAGGTCGCCGCGGTGACGGTTAATGGGGCGTGGCCGCAGGGACCGAGCATCCAGGTGGACCGGCCCGGAGTGGCCTCCAGGCAGCAGCAGCAGCAGGAGTCCCCCAGCAAACCTCCCGTCAGACCCGGCGGCCGCAGGGTGAGACCGTTAACTCATGAGGCTCACCTTCTTTTGTATGGCAGGGTGAAATGAGCAACATGAACTTCTTTTGTTCTGGAGGTAGCCAACCACGCAAATCGGGAGGTGCGGGGAAAGGACAACAAACTAAACACAACATTTCTTGTAAAGAAATTAGTTTTTTCAATCGAGGTGTGCACAGCTCCAAGTGGCTTCCTAATATCGGAAGGAAGAGCGTTCCAGACGGCCACAAAATTGTATCTAAAATGGCGCAATGCAATGACCATCTTTGTTCGATGGCTAGCCAAACGCCACTGCGAGGATGACCGGAGTTTGCACGATGGTTGATGCTCCTTGCTCCTTGTTATTATACCGATGAAAATACAGCGAAGCATTCCCTTGTAGCAGGATTCTCATCGCACATGCGACGAGTGCTGCTCGGACGAGCGCGAGCGCCGTAGCGTAGTGACCTCTCCCCTTGTCTCTGCCCAGGTCTCGCTCGAGAGCTCTGCTGCCGAGCCGTGTCAGAGGAGCGACCTCTGCAGCGTGGCCTCCGAGCCTTGGCCAACGCTGCCCAATGGCCACGGCGACCCGAAGAAACCGCTTCTCAACCACGACGAAAAGTAAGGGCAGGACCGCACAGCTCTAGGAAGAGTTCTCCGTGCCCTGTGCCTACCCATAAATATTTCACTGAGTGTCAAGACTCTTTCTCAAAGAGGGTCCTGCTGTTTTAGAATGTTTGGCCAATTCCATCCATTATTGGTTATGGCAAAGGTGCATGCCCACAATTTCACGTTTGTACCGCTGCTGGCGGATGGACGTGCATGAGAAGGAACGCTACAAAGCACCCTCCAGAGGATACTTGGCCTACTCTTCCACGCTGGCCAGACACTTGATCCCACCACACACGACCGACCGATGGACTGCGATGTGCCCATTTGTACTGCTGCATAGACAGAGGTGTGGGGATGTTTAAGAAACTTGTCTATTGTTTCAACTGCCGCGCCGGGAGATCCAGTGTGCTAACCGTTTACACACCCTGGCAAGATTTGCCGCGGTGAGTAACTATCGGTGGTCACCAAGCCAAGCAATTTCCGGACTCGGCACTGATTAGCTTATGGGTTCTCATGAGCTCTGGTGTATTCAGGATGATTTGTTCAATAAGCTCTCTCAACATAGCCTCAACTAATTCCAAATAACATGTATTTTAAAAAAAAAGTCATGAACTGGTTTCCAAACTTGAAAATCCCCTGACGGGTGCCAATGTCTCTCTGCACGTTGCGTCACTGCCGTATGTGGGCGAAGTTGAGTTATTGTTGTTGTTTTGATGTTTTGATGTTTCACTTGACAACGATGTCTTGTCAAGTCTGTTTCATACACAAATGGATTCAGTCACAAGTCCACGCTCCCGGCCGTTTCCCTGCAGCCCTTGATAGTGAGAGGGTTTGTTGCTGCTGCTGCTTTGATTCTCTTTGTTTAAAAAAAACCCTGATGAGTTGACAGATGACTGAATAGGTTTTTTCATCATCAATATTCCTATTTTTCAAGGCCATCGTGTTGTCATATGTTTGCTTGTTTTGCCCTCTTTGACATTTAATAACTACGCATGAAAGTTAGCCTTTTAGTTGGTCTGTCTCTGCCTGTTCACGTTACCCCTTGGCTGCACACTCGGACCATCACCTCTCTTGGGTCAATAAAATTAGTACCGCTTTGTGGGAAGTCAGCGGCGCTCATTCCAGTTGGCTGATTGACACACCGGGCCAGCCCACTATCGAGTCGTCATGGCAACGTGGCATGTGACTTTGGTGTGATTATTTAAAATGTTAGCGAAGAACGTTGTGCTCAGGGTTATTGAATTTTATTATTCTTATTATCAGCCGGCTTGTTTACCCCGACTCTTTTTTCAGGAGGGTCCTGCCAAGGTTTTTTCAGTAGGGGGCAATGTTGCTGTTTGTAATCCCAATTGAGTAATTTGAAAGTCATTAGTTGGCACGAGTGAGGCGCAAGTGTTACAGCTGCGCCACCCTGCCCCACTACAGCTGTCTGCTTTTTGCCTCCCCGCCCTTAGGCCAAGGTCACCTGACTACCACATGCTCGAAGCCAAGAGGCTGAAGCACAGGGCTGACAACATGGTGAGTGCGGGTTCGACACGCGTGGCGCGTCTTCTCCCGTGCAGTTCTCTGCACGCCGATTCCTCCTGCACGCAGCGTAGACTCTCGAGTCTGTGATATCTGCCTCTTCTATTTATTCGGTTGTTGCCAGACTGATTTTATGAAAGCAAGATTGCTGTGAATATCAATTCAAAGAACATCTCCAAATATGACACGGATAGAAATTAGCATTGTGTGTGTTTGCCTAGCATTAGGGGTAGACATGTAACCATTCCATACAGCAGTGGTTTTATTGATTCCCATGGTATAGGGTCACAATGTGTTTAAATTTATATTTTAGTCTTGTTTGTCACGTTTTGATGGTATAGTTTGTGTTTTTATATGTATTCATACATTTTTTTTCCGCTCCTCGATCCTAAATGCGTATAATTTGCATACGATTCTAACGACCGATTCTCATACGAACAGGCTGATGCATGCATCTCAATTTCATTGTCCATCTTCAATGACTTCTCTTGTTCTCTCTTGTTCGTTCTATTAACCTCATCATACATTAGCATTGGATGGAAGAGTAGGCCAAATACCCTATAGAGGAGCTCCCTGTAGTAGAGGCCCTCCCACCCACAGCAAAATAAGCAGGAAATTGCAGGGCTGCATCTTTGCCTTTACATACATGAGCACGTTACTTTGCCGTAAATCCCAAGCAATCGGGTCTTGCGCACGCAATTCGACGCGTGTCAAGCGAGCGTAGGAATCCATGGCAACGCTTCGTTATCGCCGCCCCCCCCCCCGTTGCCCTCCCCCCCCCCCCTCCTCTCCACCGCCCCTCCCCGTTGCGACAGATGGAGAAGTTCGGCAAGGCCATCAACTACGCGGACGCGGCACTCTCGTTCATTGAGTGCGGCATCGCGATGGAGCGGGACCCGCTGGAGGCAAAGTCGCCCTACTCCATGTTCTCCGAGACCCTGGAGCTCATCAAGTGAGTCGTCTGCAACGTCTCCTTGTCAGCCGGAAATTCACGATGCTGGTGGGGCACGGATCTCTCCGGTGTGTTTTCCGGGTTGTACCACGTCTTATTCGGCACGATGCCCGACGTTTCCGCTCCCACCCTTGGGCTGGGATTTAGTTCCCCGCATCTCGGGCGTCGTGCCAAACAACACACGGTACAGCCTGGAAACACATCGGCGAGCTGTACAGCACAACCCGCGAAAATCTATGCATGGTGGGGTTGTGACACAGATATTCATCGCTGTCACAATATCATCATCATCGTAAATTGTGTATCCATTGCATCATCGTCATCACATCATCACACCTCCATTGTCATCGTAATCCTTTTTTTTTTCATCACACCAATCATAAAACAATTCTGAGCATCTTAGCCAAGCTGAAATATTGAGCCAGCCTTGAAAGCCGAGGATTAGTTGTAATATGGACACCAATACCAGCACACAGACAGAGGCTTACTTCAGCGAATGACATCACCGTGACTGTACCCTGACAGTCGCCCTGCTCCCCGTGCCGCCCCCGCAGGTACACTATGAGGCTCAGGAGTCACCTGGCACCAGACGCTTCCTCCGCTGATCGGAAACTTGCTGCCATCTGGTAAGGCATTGGTGATAAACACAATTACATTCATTTGAAATATTTTACGAATAAACCCCCGATGGTTGAGATTCACGATAGGGGCAGCCAAAGGGGAGCACACGGCCAATCGTGTGTTGCATTGTAGGGCCGTGAGAGATGGCAATGGATTGGGGAGGCGTCATCCAGCAGTGGGTAGATACTGGCTGAAGACGGTGTGAGAAAACGCTCAGAAGTGGGGTTCATTTGCGGTTTTCTTTCATGGGGCTGCACTCTTTAAGAATGCCTGACGGTGCCACCGCCGTTCAGTTTCACGAGCTGCGCCAACGCGTGGTTAATCGCACGTTTAGAAAGCCCCAGTCAGTGCAAGAGGTGGCCGGGTGGCTCAGAGGTCAGAGCACTGAGCTGGCACCGCTGAGTTTGCTGGATTCAAACCCAAGCAGCAGCCTGTCATTAAACCTGGGATTCTAGAGTTGCAGCAAGGTAATGATTTCAGCTCCTTCACCAAATATTAGCTCTGAAAATGTACTTGTCACGTGACAAACATTCCCATCAGAAGCAGAGCCCCGTGGGAAAATGCTACCACCTCCTTTGTGGACCAGAGGATACTACTGAAGGGCCTTTCAGAGGCAGCTCTGTGATATTTGCTTCTGCGGGGCGTTCTCTAAACATGAAGGATTGCACTGTCCCGCGAGAGGTTTGACTGGATACTACCATCTCATGAAAGAGACGCAAAGCAAAAGTGTTATTGCATAGGCCGACACCACAGCACTGGGGCTACACAAACTGCGGTGCCACCGAAGGATCCCGAGGGCGATCGGTGTGTCACCCTGCCGTTTGCTTTCTCCCCAGTTTCCGCTGTCAGACGCTGCTGTACATCCGCCTCTTCCGCTTCAAGAAAGACAGCGCCATGAAGTACGCCAGGGCGCTCACCGACCACTTCAAGGTGCTTGTTTGTTGGCGGGCGTTGCGAGCGTGAGCGTGCGCTGCCGCCGCCGCCAGTTGCTCGAGCGCCTGCGCGCGGTTGCGAGACCGAAAACGACGACGAATGTTTGCTCAGGAGAGCCCCGTCCAGTCTCAGGACACATTGTCCAGGAGGGGTCCTCCGTTGGAATGTTCGGTTAATTTACATTCGTGAGTGGTTTGGCTTCACGTGGGAGGCAAGCGAAGAACCCTGGGAAATCCCACCGTCCGTACGATTGTGTAAAGCTCAACGCTCTGCACAGATAGATTTCAGAATCCATTGGTCTAATGCCGTCTCCTGGCCGCATCGCAGATTGCCGAGCACGGATTAGGGTAGTGGAGGTGCTATCACGCCGCAGACAATGTGACTGTAGTTTGCAAGCTGGCTGCTGATGATTAATGATGAGCTGTTCATTCTAACAATGATGAAAACACGCGTAATATTAATTCACGTACCGGGGACCTTTTAATGGGTGACTGGAAAATGCATTTTCTGGGGACCGCATTCATTACTCGGCACCAAATACCGCTGGAGAAGAAGGTTCCGCTTAAACGGAAACATCTCGACCGGGAGGGCCACCTAGTCACAGAAACCTGAATTTGCGCTTCTGCACCAGCCACACGCAGCAAGAGAAGAGTGTTGCTCCATCGAGGGGGGCAATGCCCTGGTTTGTGACGGGGAGGGGGCACCTGTCTGAAATTAAGTACACGCTCTGCACTGATGCCTGGAACACCCAGGGCCAAGTCCTGGTAGGTACACAACGTCAGCTGCAATTGAAGTGTAATCTTGGTACTGGGCCTCCCTCGGGTCAGTTCAGCCTAAAATGAGTATTTGGTGCAACATCGGTAGTGGGGGGGCACGGTGATCCAATCGTTAGTGGGTGTTGTTTTGAGCTCACCACCCTCTTGTGTGCAATGGTTAACTTAATGTCATGTTTACGGGCCGTACAATAATGTAGCTGTCCAATGTGCTATCGCCGCTGTACCGGGAGCTGTTCGGCACAGTGTTTGCGTGACATTGCTCCATGTGCTGCGTGCTTCTGAAGAATGACAACAACACGGCTGCGGCCAACCGCCGCGGCAGCAGTAGCGCCATCGTCGAGTGTCGTTCGCCTGCATGTGTCATTGCCTTAATGGCTCTGATGGCTCCCTGCGTCAGCGCCGCCACTCAGCGCAGATGGGGCTCCAGAGTAATGCGTCTAATTCGCTCTCCTTCAGGCTTTGTCCCGGAGCATTTGTTGACTCGTGACGTCAATTCTGGCGTTCGTATCAATTCAGCGGGGATGCTGAGACGCTGCTGCGGTGTCGTGGTTCGCACAATGAGCTTGCATTTCAATTGTTTCTGTTTCGTTCTCTTGGCGGAGCGGTAAAATCGATGGGCGAGTTTCTCAAATCTCTCCAACGCCTCGCCACCCAGCAGCAGTATGAGGAGCATGGACGTGGAAGGATAGTGCAGTACAACAATGGATTTTTTTTGCCTTATCCCTTTCGCTGCCCGACATGTGTCTTAGCAACTGCCTGTGACAACCTGGCATGCATGGTGTTCGCCCACACGATGACACGTTATCACAATTAATAATCAGTTATAATGTTCAACCTATCGTCAATCCACTGCTGGATTAAGGCCTCCCAATGCCGTGTCCGTCATTGGGTGCCAAATAAACATACTTCCCGTATTTCGCTGCGGGCTGGTTAAGGGGAGATTACCAGGTCCGGTTCAGATATCACTTCCCACTGATGCAAGCCATGGGCGGGAATCGAACTTGAGTCACCAGGCTCATAGTGCAGTTTGCAAACTACTGTGCCCCCGCTGCACCTATTGATGGCATCGTATGTGACTAAGTAATGCTTGACAGTAATACTTTTGTGTATACCAGTGTAAGAATAATTCTGTTGTTTGTGCTGTGCATGTGGCTGTGCGTATCTATGAATGTATTGTGCAAATAAATTTTGTACACACTCCCCGAGGCCAAAACTTCGTATACGCAGCGTTTCATACATTTATTTTGGAAATGCTGCCACACACGCACACAAGCATGCACACACATTTGTTATATTAAATAATAAATATGTAACGCAGACTCCCTAAAGCCAATTGACGTCACACGGTGGTATATGTGGTTTCACAGCCTGTTATTAAATTTCATTATCTTCATGATTGGCTTATAAAATACTCACGCACATGTTCGTGCACGCACAACACAAATACCATTGTTTATTTGTGATTACTTCCCCCAAAATTCCGTGTGCCCGAGAGAAAGAAATGTGAATATTTTAACAGTTTTTTTTGTTGCACTTTTCTTTGTCATTTTAGAATTCCCCCAAGACGGCACAGACAACGTCTCCCTGGAATGGAAAGTAAGCGTCGCCACACCCTCTCGTTTCACCTGCCAATTTCCAAGCAGGGAATAAAGATCGGGCACGTGCGTGCGCAGATCCTGTAATGGCTTCCCAAACATCCTTTTGTCTTGGGAATCATTTAATTTAGCGGTATGGTAGCTGTCAGGGGGAAAATGCGGTTACGCATCTATGACTGGTCCTTTCAGCGCTGGTTTATATCAGGTAAGTCCTGAATAGCCACACGGTGTTCTATAGAGCAAGTCCCGAATAACAACGTGGTTTAAACATTTTCTAAGTGGGATCATCATTACAAGAGTTACCGTGAACCCTGTTGCAGACACACAGACAGAGCTAATGTATTGATGCTGTCAACCTGAGTCGAAGAGCATTAAGAAGATTAAGTGAAACGTAGTCATGCCCCAGTATGAATTTATTTCTAAAATGTAACAGGATTTGTAAAGGCATGATTGAACTAGAATATTTTAAATATTAAGTTGCCTTACCATTTTTTTTGTATACGTCAGGGAATTTTCATGAACAACGTTTTAAAATAAAGAGCTACATCTCGGTGGGGGGTGCTTTTTAAATAATGCACCACTGCCAATCACAACGACAATAAATACTGACGCGGCTGCTGTGCCCGAGGGCCTGCTGTGATTGGGTGAGGTGTTGACAGCTCCTCATCCTCCTGCTTCTGCTCCTCCCTCCTCTTCCCTTTTCCGCCCCCTCCTTCCTGCTCGCATTTTTCTACTCCCTACTCATCCCCTCCTCCTCTCCCTCATTCTCCTTCCTCCTCAATTGTCCCCCTTCATCCCGTCTTCCTCCTCCTCTTCCCCTCTCCCCTCATACTCCTCCACCTTCTCCTCCTCCCCCCCTCCCCTCCCCACACAGGGCCGGCACACCATCCCCGATGCCGTCCACGCCATCGCCCGCCGGCTCGGTGGGATCCCAGGGCAGCGGCGGGGGTGCGTACGGAGGTGGTCCCTGCGCCGGGGGCCCCAACTCTTCCAATCAGCCCCCCTCGTCGTCCTCCTCCTCGTCCTCCTCCTCGTCCTCCGGCTCGGCCGTGGTCAGCATCCCGCAGCGAGTGCATCAGATGGCCGCCAGCCACGTGCACATGACCAATCAGCTGCTGTACGGCTACGATGCGTGGGAGCAGGCCGACGCGCTCTGCAAGGAGAGCCGCAGTGAGTTTGACGGAGTTTGTGAGCGCGCCGTAGACGGTCGCGGCCGACCCTTGCTGCCGCGGTGCGATAATTCGCACATCCCGCTCGCATCTAGTGGGATCGGCAGGTTGTGGTGGTGGTGGTGGGGTAAAGTGCGGGTGCTCCCGCCTCTTCGGAGACATCTGACCATCGTGGAAGAGAAGGCCAAAATACCCCCGAGGAACTCTCCAGAGCTCCCTCTTGTGGAAACTCTTTCGCCAGCAGTGGTGTGGATGGGCAACCGCCATGTATAACAGATGTTGTAGACTGATGCAGGGCCGCGTAGTGGGCAGCAGAGAGCAGTACAGCAAAATCCATTATTATACTGTACTTCTGTGCTCCCACGTATCTGCTATACCTGCCGTCACCAACACGCACTGACCAATGTGGTGAAAGTATGGTGAAAACAACTCCTATGACTCGCACAAAATGGGGAGGCCTTCATCCAGCAGCAGATTAACAAAGACCTGTACTTTTTGTTTACTACTCATGGACGTACAAGATGTACGCTTATTGTCACCTCATTACACTGGACATTGCCAATGAGATTTTTGCCAAAAAGGAGTGGCTTCCTGTGCAGTTTCCAGTCATTCATTTCGATTCACCATACCGATAGCTAAATTAACATGGAAATCCCAAGTCAGAGTACTCTCAGCTCAATGAACGGCCCGGTGTGACGTCTAGCTTGCCCATCACCACCACATCAGCCCTGGGATATTCATATATTCCGTTTCCTCTGTCTGTGATGTTGAAGTTTTTTTTTTATCTCCCACACATCACAGCGGTGGTCCCTGTACAGACAGCGGCAGCAGTAGCAGCACCGCTGACGGTTGAAATATGCTTTTGTGTGTTCCTCCCGTCCTGCCCCTGCAGAGTTTTTCCAGGCTGTGGACTCCGCCGTGGGGGCTTTGACCCTGAGCAGCAGCCTGGGCCACCTCGTGCGTCACTGCCGACAGAGCCTGCACTGGCTGCGCCTGGAGACCCGGACGTAGCCCGTATGTAGCCCGTCCCTTTCCCACCCCACGCAGACGCACTTGCGCTGCTGTGTGAGCGGTGAGGATTGAAGTGGCGCTGCCTGGGATTGCTTTCCAGTCCCCCTTGCCCGCTGACGGGATTAACGCCTGCCCTGCTGAGCTAGCGCCTCCCCCTCCGTACTGGTTCTTGGGACATAAGTTCGCTCGTGCCGATCCCTATTTTCGCGGTGGAAGATGGAAGCCCCCTGATTTCGAAGCAACCTTTGCGTGCGTTCCCGTGCCCTACGGTTGTACGGAATATCGGCGGGTGTGGAAAGAAACACTTCTGCAACACGCGCAAGATGACGTTGGGGACGTGAAACAAACATTGCTTTATTGCCCTTCTTCATTCATAGGAGAGGACAATCGGAGCCACTTAGTCATTGCACAGCAGTTGAAGGAGAAGCTAAAGACCAGGTTTGTCTGGAAACTCTGTTCACCTCACAGCCTCAAAAATCACAAAAAAACGCAAATCAACAAATCACCACCAGATAAGCCTTGTGCCAATAGGGATAGTCCATCAGTGGATGACACAGATTGCGAGCGAAGGATGCTCCGACTACATTGGCAGAAGTAGCGCGTGTTGAGTTTTTATCCGTCGGAACTCATGCCCGTCGCACTTCGTGTTGCTCTACAAGTGAGACGAGGCAGAGATCACAGCCTGGATTAGAACATTCCCCCTCGCCTTTGGGGCTGCACAAGCGTCGCTGTCTGACTAAAGTGGGGGGAAACAAAGCTAAAACCTTCAGCAAGTTTTGATAGTGCAGTAAGAGTGCGGATCGCTTCATTGATAAACACAAAACAAAAAAAACAAGAGTTCACATTTTAAAAATATATATAATTTTTTTTTAAAAATCCAAAAATATGCACGGTCTTTATTTAATGGTAAAAAAACACTTCTTGCGTAAAGCTATAAGGCCGTGAAACGATACGGTGGAAGTGATCCTCCTGCTTGAGCGACGTGGCGGGGGGGGGGGCGGGGTCATTCTTCTCTGCGTGCAAAGTGCCCTGCTGAGAAGTATCTTTCTCTTTATTTTTTTCTCGGTACCATGTGACGTGCCTTAGAGATTTGTAGATAACAAGAGAAGAACTCGTACAAAAAGAGAAATGAAAAAAAGAAAATTAAAAAAAAAATCACTCGATGTAGTAGTGCGTCCGTGACGTTCGGAGTGGCTCTTGCGTTCTTGTGGCAAACCCTGGAAAAAAAAAACTTTTTTTTTGGCTGGAGCAGTTTTTTTAACGATCTCGCTTTGTGAGCAAGCGCTCCCCCCTCCTCGTCTGCCTATCAGCATGGTGCTAATCTAAACAATCACGCCATTCCCTACGTCAGTTTATACCGAAAGTACCGTATATTGTTGCAGGGACGGGGGGGGGGGGCGGCTTCCAGCGTATAATTGTATAGACACACGAGGCCGCCAAAAATATTTCGAGATTGAAATGTTAAAGAAAGGTCACCCAGGTCCTAAAGATAGGTTTCCTTTCAAGTCCCACCTTATTTATTACTTAGAACATGTTACGATGCTTTGATGTCAGGGGTGGCTAAATTGAATAACAGTGTCAGTGTGATCGTGCTTTCAGTGGCCTCTCTCTTGAAAATATTTCAACTGCCTCTTGTTTATATATAAACAGTGCTTTAGGGAATTGTTATTTGCCGGAATTATATGGGATTTTCTAGAACAGTTTATATACATTTCTAACAGAACAGAAGCCAAGAGCCAATCTTTAGCCTTTTCTGACTAACTTCCAAAACACACCTCAACTGGGTAATCATTCATGGGTAAGGATATTTATGATGTCCTCCTCTGTTTTATCGTACAGCAACAACAAAGAATTAAATGTACCAGAGACATCCATCCCTTTTTATAAAAGTGAATTGCGATCTCTTAGCAAGCATCCTACAAAGAACGACGAGAGATCGGCGTTGGCCGCTGCCCTGAGTGAGATTGTGTTATCGTTTAAACTGCTTCAGCCACCAAGAGACATTAAATAAGACGTTCGTACCAGCCACCGGATTAATAAGCTGTAGTGTGCCGTATTACGTGAGAAATGTCAGCGGCGTTTATGGTCGTCAAGCCGCATGTCCCCCCGTGCTGCGTGCCAGATTGTGGTGTTTTTGAAAGGCAGAGGCGTTCTGTTCATCCGTTCACTCCTGACCTCACGTGGGTCCCGCATTTGAACCTTGGAAATGTAAAGCCACACTTCTTGGCATTTGAGCTCCAGCCCATTGGAACGTCAAGTGTCCACCTTCCTGGCATTACATGGGTATTGCAACCTGTGAAAAAAAAACGTAAAAAAATCAGCAACGAGAGGTAATGTGCCCATTTTCTTCTTGTTTTTTTGTATTTGCTGTTGTTGGTGGTGGGATATGGCTGGGGGGTGGGGGAAGCGAGGCATTTCGATTTTATTCCAGTGGAGCGTTTGGAGATGACTGAGGCCCACTGCCGCGAGTTGTGGTTTGTTCTCGCGTGCGAGCGTACCTTGAATGCGCTGTGAACAAAACCAGCGTGCGGCAGTGCATGTAGCACTTCAAAGACAGTGACATCAATCGTTTGTGCGCGGCATTACCGCGGGTTTTTTTCGCCGATTTTACCCAACACACACATTTGGCTTTGTACTTATAGGAAACTTCACGGGAGGAGTTAGTAATAATAAGCCACTTTCTTTCCTGCCTCCCTGCGATTTTGCATGAAACGTCGAATAACGTGGCAAAACTGATATATTTTCTGGTTGTACTGCGTAAGGCTCGCAGCACACAGAGCAAAACGTCGGGCGTCGGGCGTCAGGCCCGAGTTAGCACAAACCTGAAAACACACATCGAAGAGCTGTACAGCACAACTGCGAAAACCTACATAGGAGAAAACTTCAATTCCCCCCCCCCCTCCCACGGAAAAATCCAATGTGCAGTTTTCACATTGGCAGGTTGACAAAAGTGGGGGAGATTCAAGTAAGTGCAATGGAACAATGTGAATGAGCTTGGAGGCTGTGACTCTGATGAGTAACACATGCCCTGGTGAGGCCCTCCGCTGGGGGTGAGTCTGCACTACTGCACAGGGACACAACTCTGCCACAAGCCCAGCCTCCTGGATAGATGGCATTAAATAAGGCTTTCATTTCTCAATATTATTTTTTTGTGACATGGTGGCGAGGGTATTGAGGGGTTGGGTAGGGGTGGGGTCTGTTGGGTCTGTGGGGTAGTTGGGAAGGTCAGTTAGACTATGAAAAGAAACAATTTCAGAAAATGGAATTCAACAACTTAGGTGCCAGTGGGTACCAGCAACATTAAGGAGGAGACTAACACTGAAATACGTTCCCTGTACTTTTGAACGATGGCACAATCATGTCTTAACATTTATATTTGGATACACTAAGAGAAAGCTTCCTAAAAGTTTAAATATAGATTATACCTTCAATTATGAAGTTTATCAAAAGAAAATAAACATTTTATTTAAAGATGCATTTTATAGGTACCATTCTGAAAAGGGTATTGACAACACTATGCATAGTCTGTGTTTTACTTATTGAGTAGTGGCAACTGAGAATATGTGAACTTAATAAATATATGAAAAACATCCATCTGGCAGAGGTATTGTAAAAAACAACAGCCATGATATATTTAATTGCAAAAATATATCCAGTGTAATCACTAAGCAGTAGTCGTCTCTGACTGATAAAAAAAATGTCAGTGATGAACATGTAGAGAGAAATAAAATTCAAGGATGCATTAGATTGAATGTTCTGAGAAATGTACTATTTGCAAAAACACACTTTAGGAAACTTTTTTGTTCAGATATTTATTTAAATGTACAGCAACCGTGTATGTCTTAAATCAGATGAACGTATCGCAAGGCTGCATTGCGATTAGGCCTGCGACGATTCCCGGCACCCCCATGCGATCCGTTGAATCGTCACGCTTCAGTGGTCACAGCTTGATTCCAGAATAATTACCAAAAATAATGTTTCGTCTATACCCTCTCATTTGTATTTTCTCTTTTTATTCCATCTCTTTTGTTCACTCTTATTTGCTCCCTTGGCTTAGATGTCACATTTACTTGTAATTTGTACACTTTGTAAAGAGTCGATTCTAAAACACTCACGTTTCGATGAGCATAGGAAACGATTATGGCCGGTGGATCGCTACACGCCTAATTTGTCATCATGGAAAGCCTATCATCAAAAACACTACCAGTACCTGTCACAAAGATGTTCTAAGCAATTATGTTTTTGTTGTTATTATTGTTGTTGTTTATGAATAAGCCTTTACTCCTGGTTACAGCCCAGTAAAAAAATTCCAGAGGACTGCCATGAAGTAGCTGAGTTCAGAATTAAGGGTCCAACAGAAGCTGTGTTTAATGTGAGTCAAAGAATGAATGACCATCACTTACAGATGCTATTTAAAAAATATATATATAAAATCAAAGAATATTTTACTTTATTTATTGCTATAGTAATTGCCAAAAGTCTTTTAAAGTGACGCCAAGCGAGGCACAGAAAAACCTTATCAAGTGGCAGTAAACCCACTGCAGTGACACCTCACTGTGGGATAACACGCGACCTCCTACTTTAACCCATCCTGTGCCACGCGATGGTCGGCAGGACAGCTGTTACGTGGTAGACTATTGTTAAAAGCTACTAAGGCCAACGAAGCAGGCCCCCCACACACTCTATTCCCCAACCAATTCAAATGGAATTCTGCCCGCGAAGAAGTGGCAGCAATTAAACTGTTGCCAATTTTGATTGTACAGTATAGGGTCTATTGAAAACCTTGGTGTTCGGAACCAGTCGCGTAGTTCCCAGTAAACTAGCACTGCCCCCGCAATAGGTGACATCGTGTTTTTTTTTATTTAAGCGGAATAGAGTGTGCAGAGAAGTGCAAGGGGGAAAACCGAGCCCATAATCTACCAAGCCCACAGAAGGATCCGGCCTTAGCTTGCCGTTATTGGGTTGGTACACGAGCGATATTTATGTGATATTTTATAGACCAAATCCCCTATTTTTCGTGTATTTGAGGCTCTGGTTGCAGAGTTTTAATAGTGAGTACATTATTTATTGGAGTGCAAGGTACTGTTAAAGATTAGCAGGTACCTGTAGTGAGAATTGGTACCAACTGTAGCAGAAAAGCTCTGGTATTTTTTTGTGTGTGCCGGGGTGGTGGGTGGGTTGGATCGGGATGGGATGTGACAGACAGGACACCAAGGGTTACGCTAATTACATTAATATAATAACCATGTCTTTGGAGAGAGCATGCATATGTTCTAGAGTCTGTTGGTGTCTTTAAGCTGTGGACTGACCCCTGTGTTGATAAATCGTAGTGCGCTGCCTTGCCTGTACAACTCCTCTTTGTAAAACCCTGACACTCGGGATAAAACGGCGATTTGGGGGGGGGGGGGGGGGGGGTAGAGGGGGGGTGTTTGGGGGGGGGGGGGCTGACGTGTTGCTGGCTTGCTGTATGTCTTTGCATTAAGCGTGTTGGGACAGTGGTTGAGGGCGGCTCACGTCTTTTTCATGCTGTGAACTGCTCTGAACTCGATCGTTTCAACATTTCGGAGCTGGCAATCATTTGTCGGCAATCTCCCCCACCACCACCACACTCACACAACACTCTCACCGCACAAAGACAACACGCGCATCGCACGCAGACAGCACACACAAGTTGAGCTCACTTCACCCATCACTCACTCCACTGTGGACATTCAGCATTGTGTAATAAATATTTCAATTGCAGGATCACACACAAGCCTGCATTCTCAGCTGCGCCATGGTTTGTTATGTTGTACAAACTGTCGTTAATAAAGGCATTTATAAACGTTGCAAAGCATTATATTGGATTGCCTTGGTCATTTTTTATTATTATTTAGCCGCTCAGGTATTTCCTCAGTCTTGCTGATGTGTTGTACACGTACGGTATATGGTGTCAAATGTCTGGAGCAACCTTGATGGCTTGAAGTGCAACACCTTACACCATAGTTGGCTCTGTGCTAACCCCACAACAGCGTAATCTCTCTCTTATATCAAGATGGCATCACGGCCAAAGCCTTCGATGCCACCTTTCTCTTTTGCTGTCAATATAATAATTCTCACCTACTTGATTAGCATACAGCAATCAACAGATACAAACAGATACAAATGTTTTTTTGTTTAAATACAAGTTACTGAGTGTAGGCCCAGAAGCCAATTACATAAATTAGCCCTCAGCTAAGAGGGAACAAATTATCGTACAGCAATACTATAGGGAATATGGAAAAGAGGTTTTATTACAAAAAAGCTATCAAAGTTGAGCAGCATAATTAAAGGAGGAAGACACATTTTACCTCCGATGGTAAGGTGGTTGAACACTGAGGAATACGGACGATGATGTGCAATCATTACGATGAGAGTGCAGAGTATCCCTAAGTACAGCACCACCATCATCATCATCGTGTTTACATTCAGGGTCGTGGTCATTTAATACGCTACTTTAGTTTTGTGTGTGTGTGTACACATTGTATGAGCATCCCTCGGTCAATTCAGGATTGTGGCAGCACTGCGAGTGGGGGTTTTCCCAGCATGCGTTAAGCTTACTGACCCTTTTATTTGCAGCTCAGCAGGAGATATTAAAACCTCTTGGCGACAAACCACAACCCCCTGCGTGCGTGCATCCCCCACACATGCCCCTGTCGAGTCCTACATACAAAGGGGGCCAGATTCACAGCTTGGTCAAATGGGCAAAAGTAAGCAGCCCTGGCGATTTGCCCCATTTATCAGGTTGCTAATTAACCGTTTAGTTTAAATATTTGTAGTTTTTTTTAAGTGTTGATTGGAAAATATATGGCAGGAATACTATACTGTATATTGCATTTATTTACACGTCCTTCCAAAAATCATATCTTTGTTAACAGCATAATACTATACTGGTATATTGCATTTATATTTAGTCGAATAAATGCATTCAGGATGCAGTACGTTTGAAGTTGAAACAAGCTGCACTTGACATTTCATCCAATTAAAGTTACCATCAATAAAAGCTCCATGAATTATAGGACAATGAATTGGTAACAGTTGTTAAGGAGACAATTTCGTTTTGACAACTGGAAACTCAACTTGTTTTGAGTCGAAACGGAGCAATCTTCGTTTTAATAAGCTCACTTATGTCTCCATCTAAATGGGAACCCATTCATAATTGGTGAGCGTTACATTGGCAAGTTCTTTTGGCCAAAAATCTCATGAAAATGTATATTTTTAACAGTTTTTTGGCAAAAAATGTGGTGCTGCCCTACATGGACATGATAAGAAAACGCATGATTGGAAGTGTGGCAAGTATACGGTGGCACGGAACATCGGTGACTAGACAGTTGATTCATCATTAAGCCAAATGATCGGGGTGCAATTGGGCACTTTGTCTAGAAACTCAAATACCTGAGTTCGATCATGATTCCCTATCACGACTAACAGCAGTGGCGAGTGGCACTCCGATGTGTTTTCTGGCTGTTCAGCGAAAACCTACCGATCAGTATTTTATATATGAAAAAAAAACGCATTTGTCAATAACTCTGCCTTGAAAATATATAATAGGCGACGTTGTGGGCAATGGCCTTTCATAGAGAAGCCAGAGCGATTTGAGTGGATAATAATACGAGTTGGAGGCTGCCACTGCTAAGATCAGTGGCACGCGATATCTGAACAAAATCTGGGGTGCTCACTCTCCTTCAAACCCTCACTGACCAGTGTGGTGAAGTATGGTCAAATGACTCCTGTCACTGAGACGGACGGCATGGGTTTAAGGGCCTGCAACCTAGCAGTGGATTGACAAGGCGCTGTCTATAAATTAAATGAATAACCTGTTTTATTACTTAAAAAAAACGTAGAGTGTGGTGCATGCAGTCCAGAGAGACTTGAGTAGGGTTTATTCATCTTGGAAAGCCTGCGACTTTACAAGCGTGGCGTCCGAACAAAACAAACGAGCTTTGTGCGCTCCCAGCGGTCGGATTCCATGCAGGTAATTTAAGAAGGGAAAGCGACAGCAGAAGCAGCAGCGGCAGAATTTGCCGCGTGTCTTCTTCCTTCGCCTGCATGCAATTGGTGGGATGGGCAGCACCCCCCGGAAGAAAAAAACCCCTCCAATAGCGACCAAGTCGGCAAGCAAGCAAAGCGGCAAGGGCTCTGCGAAACCCTCCAAACTCACCCAACCGGTCGGGTTCCCATAGGAACCGGGCAGCTAGAAAAGAATGCGCACGGGAAGGGTGCCCGAAGATACAAAGGCGGTGTTTTTTTAAAAATAAAAATAAACCCGGGCTGCGGTCACGCTGCGGCAACCAAACTGGGCTCCGTCGAAGGCCTCTCGGTGTGCTGTGAAGAAAGGCCATTGGGCCGAAACGTCGCCTATTGAATACTTTATCTTGCAGGGTTGTTGTTATTTGTGCGGCACACTGTCAACGGCGGCAGTATTCGCCGAATAGCAAACTTATTTTAAGACTGTAACAAACCGGTCAAGCGTGTGCGGGGTGCGCGCGCCCGCCGTGTGTGGCAGTCGACTGTCAATCCCACGGCTCACGCGCTCGCCACACCTGCGTGGCACGGGAGTCACCTGCGTGGCACGGGGATCACCTGCGTGGCACGGGGATCACCTGCGTGGCACGGGGGTCACCTGCGTGGCACGGGAGTCACCTGCGCGGCACGGGGGCCACCGGCGCGGCACGGGGGCCACCGGCGCGGCACGGGGGTCACTTGCGTGGCACGGGAGTCACCGGCGTGGCACGGGAGTCACCTGCGTGGCACGGGGGTCACCTGCGTGGCACGGGAGTCACCTGCGTGGCACGGAGGTCACCTGCGTGGCACACGGGGTCACCTGCGTGGCACGGGGGTCACCTGCGTGGCACGGGGGTCACCTGCGTGGCACGGGAGTCACCTGCGTGGCACGGGGGCCACCGGCGCGGCACGGGGGTCACCTGCGCCAGGTGTGGCGGCGATGTTGTCCGCGTGGCTGTGCGTGCGGCCCGGGAGGACCTGGCGCCTGTGTCTGGCGCTGGCGGTGCTCGGCGCGGCCCTGCAGGTGAGCGATAAGGCCCGAAGGGTGGTGGAGTGGAACCCGGGGGGGTCACGGCCAGTTCACCAGCACGATAACACCAGTACACAACACCAGTACACACAGTGCCACAACACCAGTACACAACACCAGTACACAACACCAGTATACACAGTACACAACACCAGTACACAACACCAGTACACACAGTCAACCAGTACACAACACTAGTACACAACACCAGTACACCAGTACACAACACCAGTACACAACACCAGTACACAACACCAGTACACACAGTGCCACAACACCAGTACACAACACCAGTACACACAGTGCCACAACACCAGTACACAACACCAGTACACACAGTACACAGCACCAGTACACAACACCAGTACACAACACCAGTACAGTCAACCAGTACACAACACTAGTACACAACACCAGTACACAACACTAGTATACACAGTGCCACAATACCAGTACACAACACCAGTACACACAGTGCCACAACACCAGTACACAACACCAGTACACACAGTGCCACAATACCAGTACACAACACCAGTACACACAGCCAACCAGTACACACAGTCAACCAGTACACAACACCAGTACACAACACCAGTACACACAGTGCCACAACACCAGTACACAACATCAGCACGATAACACCAGTACACACAGTCAGTACACACAACACCAGTACACAACACCAGTACACACAACACCAGTACACACAGTCAGTGCCACAACACCAGTACACACAACACCAGTACACACAGTCAACCAGTACACAACACCAGTACACAACACCAGTACACACAGCCAACCAGTACACACAGTCAACCAGTACACAACACCAGTACACACAACACCAGTACACACAATCAGTGCCACAACACCAGTACACAGTGACACAACACCAGTACACACAACACCAGTACACACAGTCAACCAGTACACAACACCAATACTAACAGTCAACCAGTACACAACACCAGTACACACAGTCAAGCAGTACACAACACAACACCAGTACACAACACCAGTACACACAATCAGTGCCACAACACCAGTACAGTGCCACAACACCAGTACACACAACACCAGTACACAACACCAGTACACACAGTCAACCAGTACACAACACCAGTACACACAGCCAGCCAGTACACAACACCAGTACACACAGTCAACCAGTACACAACACCAGTACACACAACACCAGTACACAACACCAGTACACAACACCAGTACACACAGTCAAGGAGTGCCACAACACCAGTACACACAACACCAGTACACACAGTCAGTGCCACAACACCAGTACACAGTGCCACAACACCAGTACACACAGTCAACCAGTACACACAGTCAATCAGTACACAACACCAGTACACACAGTCAACCAGTACCACAACACCAGTACACAACACCAGTACACACAGTCAACCAGTACACAGTCAACCAGTACACACAACGCCAGTACACAACACCAGTACACAACACCAGTACACACAGCCAACCAGTACACAACACCAGTACACAGTCAACCAGTCAGCTTGTACCAACACACCAGTCAACCATTTAGCCAGTACCAACACCCCAGCAGTCCGTACCAACACACCGGCACGCATACACACTCAGTGGTAAGTATCAAAACAGCGATATGCCGTCATCCAACCACCATCAACCCAGCCACCCAGGTTGGATAATTAGCACTTAGCCTTTGGTGTAATTAGCCTCGCTCCATTAGGCCACGTTTCATGACATTAAAACGTGACGTCAAGAATCTTTCAAACATTTAAAAGAAGGTAAGGGAAGCTGGACATGAGATGGTTTGAGCACGTGCTAAGAATAGACAAAGTACATAGTGGTCCTGATGCCTCGTGACCGCCAATTGACACCTGATTTATGTTTTAAAGAAATATGACTTTTAAAATATGTATTAAGTTTTGGATAATGAAATTGACATGTGGACCGCCGCGTAGACACACACGGGAAGGGCTGTGGAAGATGCCTGCCACCAATGCAGGGCTGGAGGAGGAGAGGCAGGCCGTGGTGAGGTGGAAGAATGAGGTGGAACGAGGAACGGTGCACGTGACGAGGGAATTGGCACATAATAGCGGTACGGGACATGGAGATGGGATATACCCGAGCAGCCAACTCCATGCAATTTATGGGGACCTTTGGCTCAGGAGCAGTGGTTCTAAACCTTGGGTTCTCAATCATTAAAAAACATAAAAATGTTAATAAATACAGAGTTTGATTAAACAAAGTAGTTGCACTGACGTGCCCGTGCTTATTTTGTGTTTCCGATTATTTACCTTCTAAAACAAATCTGGCCATGTCTGCACCCGCAGGAGGGGCATCTTGCACCCCCAGGGGATTGCGTGCACCCCAGATTAAGAAGAACCACTGGCTTAGAAGAACACCCTAATTGTAAACATTGTAGACATTGTACATACATCATGGATAATCGATACTTATGCGTATCATTCAATACGTGTATTTTGAGTGTAAATCAAAACGATTAATACATAAACTGTGCCATGTTTGTTAAGCATGGTTGCATTGATAATTATTTATGGGTCACTGGGTAAGAGTCATTGCAAGCTTGGGTGTTGTTGTCCTTTCCTGATGGGGGCGCTCTTACATCGCAGGATGGTGAGAGATGCCGCCCGGGCCTGGTGGAGGCATTCATCCAGCAGTGGATTGATCGTGGCTGATGATAAAGTGGTGCTTTCAGTTTAGACTCCCAAGTGAGTTGACAAGAGACATAGGCAGTGTACAGAGATGCACTGAGATGAGAGACACGTGAACAAAATATAGAGGTGTAATGAATTGAGATAGAAATGAGAGGATACAGTATTATGAAACATGCGATGTAGGCAGTGGACATAAATTAATTGAGAATATAGCTGCAGACAAGCTATTGATGAGATTGGCTGATTATTTATGGTAATTGGCTGTTAATGTTACTATGATCTTAATTCGAGACTATATTTTGTGCATCCCTAATTTGTTCGTGAAACCAAGGGCCCCTTGAGCTACGTGGGACCCTCATGTTGGCTTAGTTTGCTCATGCCTAGGGCTACCACTGCTCATGCCGACGATGGGCGTCACTGTGGTGGTGCTGTGTGCAGGTCGTGTACGTGTGGCTTGCCTTGCCGGCCCAGACCCCCTCTGTGCGGCCAGGCAGCCAGAGCCCTGCAGCTTCACTCAACCCAAGGGGACCCCGAATGGAGACCCCGGGAATGGGAGCGCCCTGGCGGATGGACACGGCTCCCGCATCTCACGCGCGCACGGCTGTGCGTTCAATTTACACAGCAGTTATTGCCGCTGAGCCCGTGTCCTCTGTGTTAATGGTTTGACCCCTGTCCAATGTGTTTTCGGATTTTAATGCGCGTTGTTTGGCACGATGGAAGCTTCTTCAGAAACTGAATGATTCCTGATCTAACATGCCCCATGCAGTCGGTAAAAAAAAATTTGTAACATTATTTTCATAACTTTAACATTTACTGGATTAAAATTATTTGTTTTCCAGCCTGCACTTTTTTGTTGTGAAGGGGTTTCTAATCATTTAAATATTTGAAATAGTGCCCATGTTATGAAAATGTGTTTCACTCCCTGCATCTCGCTCTGTATCTTTCTCCGTCTTCCTGCATGTCTCTTTCTATGTCTCTGTCTCTCAGTTTATCTCCATGTCCCTCTCTGTGTCTCAGATGTTTGTCTCTCCGTGTATCCCTTCATCACTTGCTCCAGCTGCACATTGTCGCATTACAGAGAAAGTCCTTATACCGGAATGTAAATATTCTGCGTATTAATTCTCACGAGCTGACAACTGAATTGACATGAGGCTTCGTGTAGTAAAAGAATGGACCAGCACCACTCACACACGCCCCATGCGGGCGTTGCGTGTATGTTTTAAGGAATGGCAGCACTGCGGGGAGCTAGGGATAGGCGGTCCAGATCCCCTCGAGTCCCCCTGGCCCCAGGCCCGCTGCCGGCCCCGGGAAACGACCCCCGAGGTGTGCGAGGTCCTCCGGGAACTCTTCAATAACAAGACTCCTGCGTCGTGTCACCACCAGCGCAGGCGCGACATCTGTGAGCTGCACGTAAGGCCCCCACCTACATCCGTATAATATTTTTTTTGTAGAACAGTTCATTTAATCAACAAACGCATATGATTGTGTTTTCTATGTTTGTGACAATTGGCAGTCTGACGAGGGATTATCCAGGTGAAATAGTTTAACCGGGAAAATATTATATAAAAGTAACAGAAAATAAACAACAACCAAACCAAATATTGTTTGACTTTTCACTCTATATGCTGGGAATTCCTTCAGTAGCTGCATGAACAAGCTTCCAGTATATGGAGTCAATCTTCAGACATCATACCGAACAATACGCGGCACAACCGGAAGACACGTCGGAGAGCTATACAGCACAATCATGAACACGTATGCAATTGATGGCATCTCTCCACCTCCGTGGTAGTCGTTTCTATAATCTTAAGTGAGGTTTCCTTGTTTCTCAGAACGCCTCTTCCACCTCGCCGCACGTAGTGTGCGCCGACGGCTTATGCAGCCGTAGCACCCCGGTGTCGCTCGGGCTGTATCGCGAGGCCGCAGCCGCCTACCGCTGGTTGGACTTCGAGGTGGCCACGCAGGTGGCGGCCTTCATCAACGCTGACCTCCTGCCCCGAGGCCACGGGGCTCCCCACCCGGGCTTCTGCCTCCTGCGCTGCGTGACTGCCAGAGACAGGCGGCAGATCACACAGTTGCTCATCCTCCCGCCGGCCCTGCGGCGAGCCCCAAGGAAGACAGCGGACAACGAGGACCAGGAGGACAAGGGGAAGGAGGAGAAAGACGCAGAAGGGGAGAGTGATTCAGAGGAGGAGGCTGTTGCTGGAGAGAGTGTTAATAACACCGATGCAGGAGAGAGACTGACAGAATCGGGCGATGTGCCTGGTCGGCCGCCCGCTGTTATCAGTGTGAACGTGCTGCTGCTGGACTCCGTGTCCCGGCACCACTTCTACCGCTCGCTACCCAAGACCGTGGCGGAATTCCGACGCCTGAATGAGCATGGCTTCAAGCGAGGTGGCAGGGTGCTCGACTTCCAGCTCCTGCAGGGCATCAAGAGCCGCACCCAGGAGTCCCTGCAGGCGCTACTGGCCGGGGATGTTAATGAGGCAGCGGGGGCCGACGCCACCGTGCGCTCCGAGCGCGTTTTCCGGCACTACAAGTGGCGTGGCTACGAGACGCTGTACCTCGAGGACATGTGCTGGCTCTGGGACTGGGGGCTCGTCCGGGAGCTCGGCGTGCGGCCACCTGGGCCCGACACGGTGCGGCGCAGGCGGCGGCGCTTCCGGAAGGCGCTGACCCGGGCTGGCATCGACAGGGTCGACGTCTCCTACAGCAGCTGCGTCGTGCTGGCCGAGAACGGCGTGCGTGACGTATTCCACGGCCCCGACGCCGTCTGCTTCAATGGACTCCACCATCACGCCTACCTGCTGCGCTATGTGACCTACTTCGTGGCGAGCTTCGCGGCACTCGGCCGCCCGGCGCTGAGCTTTACGATCCTGGACACGGCGCACGAGGACACGGGCCTACGCCTGCAGGGCCTGGACGCCGACCTGGCGGAGCACGTGCGCTTCCTCGCGCGCCCCGACAGTACCACCTTCTCGCTCATCCTGGCTGACCACGGCAACACGTACGGCCGCCTGGAGGAGAGCTTGCCTGCCCAGGCATGGCTGGAGACCTTCCAGCCAGCGTTTTTTGCAGTGGTGCCCGACGCCGTGGCACAGGAGCTGGGAGCCGATGCGATGCGCGCCCTGGGCGTGAACCAGCGTAGGTTGGTCAGCCTGCTGGATGTCCACCAAACCCTGCGGGCTCTCGCCGAGCACCCGTCCGTGCCAGCTGACGCAGGCGACCTGAGACTCCAGCAGCGCCATGGCATCAACAGGGACGGCCTTTTGAGTGCCGTGCCCGCGGGCAGGACGTGTGAAGATGTACCGAGGATCCAACCAAACGTGTGCATCTGCCGCAGCGACCAGGGTCCGCAGCACAATGACTCCTACTTCGCCATGTTCGCCGAGGTCGCCTTGATGCGCATGAATGAGATTCTGTTTGCACAGCAGCAGCAGGTTGACCCTTGGAGCCCTGGTCAAACTGTTCCAGGCTTGTGCCAGAGGCTGGTCGCTCTCTGGTTCGACAATGTCCAAACCGAGCAAGGGTCAGCGAGTGAGGTAGACGTAAGTGGGGACAGCAATTCCCTCACCGACGCAATGGTCAGGATGGACATTTACGTGCGGCCGGGCCTGTCCAATGGTCTGCCAGTGACATCTCATGAGAAATTTGCAGTGTCCGTTTGGCTGACGCCAGGTGGCGGTGCAGCCGTGCGCTACGAGCGTCTCACGCCATTCAGCCGCTACGCGCAATGCGCGCACCCGAGGGTAGACCCCCGCCTGTGCGTGTGCGACTCTCATCGTCATGATCCGTCCCATTTCCCCAAACCATCCCTGGCTGCTGCTGCTGCTGCTTCTCTAGAGTTGATGGCAGAGGACATGTTGAGTGCTCATACAGAGAGGACAGCGTGTGCTGGTGGTGGGTGCTTGTGCCTGTTTAAGAGGCAGCGCGTTTCCGGTGTGGCCCTGGAGGTGGTTAACGCTTGCAAGCTCCCTTACGCCCTCTCGCTGAGCGTGGAGGTGCAGAACTTGGTGGTGGTGGCGGCAGAGGCTGGAGTGGCTCTCACCACGGAGCCCCGAGCGAGCGGCCAAGTGCCTGTGCCGCCAGGCGCGGTACGCACCTTGCTGGTGGCGGTGCAGGGAGACCGAGACCGCTCGTGGCAGTACAAGTACAACATCAGTTACGTGGCACTGGGAGCCACGTGAATGTTGATGCAATGATCATGCACAACCGTATGACGCTACAATGCACGGGGCCTTGTTTGCATCTTGGTAAAGATTATTTTTGGGCAGAAAAATGTACATATGTCTCCACCATCAACAATTAGGCTAATGATGATGGTTCATGTGTTATAGCCATTACATCATGATCTGATTCCAGCTCATAAGCTTGAATTACTTATAGACTTGCAGGGGTCCCATAGTTTAACACTCGACCGACACATTTTAATTGTACCAATACACCTGCTCAGGACCCACAATAACATAACCAGAAATCTTACATTGGTCCTACATTGGTCCTACATTGGACCCACTGATTTATATAGGGCCTTTTTTATATATTTTTTTATAAATGACAGCACTCATACTTTAGTTGTTGGATAAATACATGACAGTTATACTTTGACAATGTAATTTACAGCTAATTTATTCTGAACAATTTTCAAGTGTAATTAAATGTGCAATATTTATTGAACTTCATGGAAAAAAATCAATCCTGATCTTTTATCCCTCCAGCACTACACACACATGAGTGTATAGAAAGGGCACTAATACTCTAATAACATTAATAATGATGTTTATTTATTGGGTAAATTATATTTTTCTGGAGAATCCTAGCTTGAGATGTTTGACAAATTGTGTTAATGAGTCTTTGGCATGTGGGAGAAAACCAGAGAACCTGGAGAAATCCCACACGTGCAGTGAGGTAACTTGGCTGTCCACAGATTCAAATTTGTATTCTGTACTGCAATCTGCGCTCCACATTGCAACTTAAACCAACAACAACGTCTGGTATTCCCAGCCATTCTCCCATGCAAGTACCAACCAGGCTTAACTCTGCTTAGATGTGGACATCTTTACAATCAACTCGCTGTTCATGGGTTTAGTGCTCTTAACATTCCCCAAGTTTCAATAAAAATGTATTTGCTGTAAGTGCTGCTTATTCGAGTGTAGTAGGTTTGTAAAATCAATACAATGGAAAAACATCCATTCAAAAGAGTCCTACCCAAGATCAGCAAATGTAACCACATTTACACACGGTATATATTTTTAGAAGTGCATTTCTCATTGATTAATCGCTGAGGTATTAAAAAAAATCCGTCTTTTAACGTCTTATTTTTTAAACTAGAGGGGCTTTTAAGAAAAAAAATATGCACGTATTCTTATATGTATGTTGTGCCTCTTGCTATCTGTCCAGATCGTGCCACAGTTACAACCATTGACTCACACGTGGGGTTGAGAGGGGGTGCCGATGCAGATCATTAGCATACCATATCAATGAAATGAATACACTTCCACTATGTAGGAAGTCGACAGTGGTTGTCTGATGAATACTCACCCCGCCATGGGAAATGTGGAATTTCCAGCACTGGTTACTGTCCTCCGATGGAGGCGATCACCCCTCGCACCCCAATTTGATGAACCGGAACCAACACTCTGAGACTCTTTAGTTCAGCAGTTGTCAGCGCGGGGTTACAGCCCTCTCCCACGCCTCTCAGGGGCTGGATGGAGTGGGTGGGAGTGCGGCATGGCAACAGTGCAGGGTAAATGTTGAATGTGCACGGGGGAACAATGGGCACGTAGCAGCGACAAAACACACCGGTACACAACATGGAACATATGCCTAACACAGCGTTAACGACTATGATCTCTGTGTACTGTGGCCTTAGTCACCTTAGTTGTGTTGTTGGGGACTGGGTTGGTAGATGGGGGGGGGGGGTTGTGGAGACCTGGTTATCTTACTAAAAACAAAATGTTGATAGGACAACAATAACTGCTTCCAGACAGTCAGGTATGTTCATGGTGCCGGATCTGACAGCACTTAAGCTGCACAGCCTCCTCCACACAGCCTCCTCCACACAGCCTCCTCCACACAGCCCCCTCCACACAGCCCCCTCCACACAGCCTCCTCCACACAGCCCCCTCCACACAGCCTCCTCCACACAGCCTCCTTCACACAGCCTCCTCCACAAAGCCCCCTCCACACAGCCTCCTCCACACAGCCTCCTCTACAAAGCCCCCTCCACACAGCCTCTTCCACACAGCCTCTCCACACAGCCTCCTCCACACAGCCCCCTCCACACAGCTCTCTCCACACAGCCCCCTCCACACAGCCTCCTCCACACAGCCTCCTCCACACAGCCCCCTCCACACAGCTCCCTCCACACAGCCTCCTCCACACAGCCCCCTCCACACAGCCTCGCCCACACAGCCCCCTCCACACAGCCTCCTCCACACAGCCTCCTCCACACAGCTCCCTCCACACAGCCCCCTCCACACAGCCTCCTCCACACAGCCTCCCCCACACAGCCTCCCCCACACAGCTCCGTCCACACAGCCTCCCCCACACAGCCTCCTCCACACAGCCCCCTCCACACAGCCTCCTCCACACAGCCTCCCCCACACAGCTCCGTCCACACAGCCCCCTCCACACAGCCTCCTCCACACAGCCTCCTCCACACAGCCTCCCCCACACAGCCTCCCCCACACAGCTCCGTCCACACAGCCTCCCCCACACAGCCTCCTCCACACAGCCCCCTCCACACAGCCTCCTCCACACAGCCTCCCCTACACAGCCCCCTCCACACAGCCTCCTCCACACAGCCTCCTCCATACAGCCCCTCCACACAGCCCCCTCCACACAGCTCCCTCCACACAGCTCCCTCCACACAGCCTCCCCCACACAGCCTCCCCCACACAGCCCCCTCCACACAGCCCCTCCACACAGCCTCCTCCCCCCACCACCGCGGCGCGCCACGGTGCCCGGCAACAAACAGAGTCGGGGGGCTCCGCCTGACGACGCCGATCGTCTTGCCAAGTCCCAAGACAAGGGCCAACGTCCCAAGACAAGGGCCAACGTCTCAAGACAAGGGCCAACGTCCCAAGGCAAGGGCCAACGTCTCAAGACAAGAGCCAACGTCTCAAGACAAGGGCCAACGTCTCAAGACAAGGGCCAACGTCTCAAGACAAGGGCCAACGTTCTCAAGACAAGGGCCAAAGTCTCAAGACAAGGGCCAACGTTCTCAAGACAAGGGCCAACGTCTCAAGACAAGGGCCAACGTCCTCAAGACAAGGACCAACGTTCTCAAGACAAGGGCCAACGTCTCAAGACAAGGGCCAACGTTCTCAAGACAAGGGCCAACGTCTCAAGACAAGGGCCAACGTTCTCAAGACAAGGGCCAACGTCTCAAGACAAGGGCCAACGTCCTCAAGACAAGGACCAACGTTCTCAAGACAAGGGCCAACGTCTCAAGACAAGGGCCAACGTTCTCAAGACAAGGGCCAACGTCCTCAAGACAAGGGCCAACGTCTCAAGACAAGGGCCAACGTTCTCAAGACAAGGGCCAACGTCCTCAAGACAAGGGCCAACGTCCCAAGACAAGGGCCAACGTTCTCAAGACAAGGGCCAACGTTCTCAAGATAAGGGCCAACGTCTCAAGACAAGGGCCAACGTCCCAAGACAAGAGTTGGAATCGCCGCGCTCCAGTCGCCAAGGGCCTCGAGCTTGCGGCCAAATTATTCCGCAGATTCCGACACGGGGCAAGGCAGCGGTCGGTCAGTCGCGTGGCACGGTAAGAGATGCCGTGGCCCTCCTCCTTCTCTGTCGCAGCTGCAGCCTTTACAATGGTGCGTGTGTGCGATTGTGTAAAGAAGCCGCTTGCGCGTGTCGGTCCTCCTTGTGTGTGTGTTGTTTTGGTCGACCGAGGGGAGCGGTGGCGCAGTGGTTAGCGCCTCGCTGCGCTGCGAACCCGGTCACCCGAGTTCCATTCCCGCTCACGGCCAAACAACCATCGCGGATGATATCGGAACCGATCGTGGGGGCTCCCCTCACACGAGTATACCTGGTGCGATGTACAAACATCGCCACGAGCGTGGTGCTAGCCACCCACCCCCTCCTACACTGTGTCGGCCTTCACAAGTGCTCGCTCACAGCACTTGCCCCAACAGTCTGTGAAGGCTACACGAGGGATCTTCGTGTTATGGGGGAGCGGTGGCGCGCAGATAACAACGCTGGGACGTCTGTATGCACAACTTCTTTCGCACCGTACGTAACCAACCGTGCTAATCGGAGGTGATGTTAAGACACCACGGCAGGCGCTCGTGTTATAAGGCTGCGTCAACATAACGAGGCCCTGGACTGGGTTCAGACGCCACTGATATCCGCCGTGAGCCGGGTTCGTAGCGCATTGCGCTAACTACTGCGCCACCGCTCCCGTCGGTTGTTAGCCATCAAGTGCGAGGCATCCGAAACGCCACAGGGTGTGGGGGTGAACGGGAAAGTCGTCAACGTTTACAAACCAGGAAGGGGATGAGAGTTACACACAGCCCTAACGCTAATGAATGGCGATTATGACACTGGAATTGCAATCCAGAGGTCACCGGTTCGATCTCCCGGTGTGGCAGCTGAAACAAAAGTGCAAGTTTCTTGACCCCATCCCAATCGGCAGGTCGCATGCGGTGTGATAAAGTTGCGGTGGTTCTCTCGCCTCTTCCAAGACGTCTGGACGGCGTGGGAGAGTCGGCCAGATTACCCTCTAGACGAGTCGAGACTCTAGACCCAGGGGTCCCCAACCCCTGGGCCGCGGACCGGTGCCGGTCCGTGGCCTGTTAGGAACCGGGCCGCACAGCAGCAGGAGGTGAGAGCGGTGAGTCCGCACGTGGCCCACCCACATTGTTTTATTATTCACCACTTTCGTCCGCGCCTCTTTTCCTGCACTGCGCACTCGTCTCAGTCACAGTTTTGGTAAGCCCACAAGATAACCCCTAGTAGCCACAATGAGTAAAAAGCAAACGTCGGTGGAGAGCTTCTTTGAAAAGGGGGAAAGACCCAATGATGAACCCCCCCCACGGTCCGTGGAAAAATTGACCGCTGCTCTAGAGTCTAGAGCAGCGTTTTTCACTGCAAGGCCACCAGGGGCCACTGGCGGCCCCCCTGGTGGCCTTTAGTGCGGGCCCCGACAATACACAACGAGTGAAAACACTTAATTCTAGAGTAGTGAAAACACTCCGCCTTGTCAGCGGTGTTGGGGCCCTCGCGCTGCTGATGTCTTATCGGCGAAAGTGGCACCCCCTCCGTAAATGATGGTGAACACCGCTCTAGAAGGGGCCTTGAGAGCTTCTCGTGGAGGCCCTTCCAGCCAGTGAGCAATAAACCGCAGGGCCGCACGTTTACCCCAACACCGCAGTCTAAACGCCGTGCGCTTGTCATTGTGCAACGAGGCCACCTGTCGGTTTTACAGGGATCCGCCACGGGCCACGTCTTCTTCAGCATGCAGCGCCGCTACCTGCAAGGTGAACATCCCCGGCCACACCTGCCTGGCTACCTGTCCGGCTATCCCGTGTAAGTTAAGGCTCTGCACTCTCAAAAGCGGACAAACACGAGATGTTCAAAGCTAAAACTAGACGACTGTACACGTCATTTTTCGGCACATAGTCGGAAGGATTACACATTGTGATGATGTGGATATAATTTTCAAATTAGCTAAATGGAACGTATTAGTTCTTAGAGTATGGCGCTTAAACCATTATAAAGCTATAGCTATGTTTGATGGTTCCTCAAAATCCAAGGCCCCCCCCCCCCCCCCCGGGCTGCAGTCTCTAAATCCCCCACGCTTATCAGGCCTTATGTCAAGGTGTCACTCCGTACTATGCACTTTCGATGTATACTCTACTGTGATGTCTGAATGCAACAGTGTCGCGATCCTGGTTAAAAAAATTGGACGTGTGAATCGTGGGTAACAAGGTGGTGTCAATATTTTATTTAAGGGAAGAGGTGGTCAGTCAAAGAAGATGGAAGGTCTTGAACCCTTCCTCTCCTACCTCGGGAGGGCTCTTGGCATCATGGCTGCTGTTGTTGTTGTGTTCACAGGGTGTGCACTTCACAGATTTTACTGGAATTGTGACCAATGGGCAGTGCCGGTTTATCTTCGTAGCAAAAGTAGCATACTGTATGCTACGGGCCCCGCGCTACATGCTTTCAAGCCATCAATTCCGCTTCAGTGATTCTGCATTTGCTCTATTACGATAGTACTATACTGCCTTCAACGTTTATGAACGACTGGGTGTTTAAGGTTAGCGACTTGTATTTTATGGCTGTATAGCAAATGAAAAAATGCAATTACTTTACTATGCAAGTTAAAAATTTATGTTTTAATATTTACGTGTTTTTTTTATTTAGGGCCCCTTTATAACATATGCTACAGGCACCACACTCGCTTCATCCGGCACTGCCAATGTGTACTTATCAGACTTCACCAGAAAGCATGAGACCACATCATTCCAATGCCCACATGCCTCCCCTGGCTTGCAATAAAGCCGCTGATCAACTCCATACATAATGTCTTGAGATATTTAGACATATCTCCGAGTTGTATTGAACAGACTTCTTGTATAATCCAAATGCATTCTAAAGCCACAACACACGAGTATTGCGAAGGCTGACAATGTCCATCTGCACTGTGCTTGCATGGCCATGCAGACAGGACCCTGTGGAACGGGCACACCTGACGGCTCACCTGGAGGAGCTTTGCCGCCCGCGGCCCAACCTGCCACCAGCCATTGCGCAGGTGGAGGTCTTCGACCCAACGCAACTTCGACACGTCCACCCTGTAACGAAGGGCCAACTGCCCACTTCACGTGGTGAGCCCTGCTGAACTGCTTGATAGAGGCTATGATTCACTACGATTCTGGCGAGCAACATAATTTGCGCGTGCTGGCGATTCGCGTGACGTAAGTTTTCACTATTACAGACGTAACATCATGAAGTGTTGTGCATTTGTAACGTCAAGATGCATGACCCGATGCTCTTTACCTCTGTCTTCAGGTCATTTATCTCTCGTTTCGCTCACTAATCTTCATCTCGAGTCACTTGTTTCTCATGTCACTAATCTATATCACTGCTATACAAACATATGAAATATTTACTTATGTAAAATTGTTTCTTCAAGTAATGTTTACTTCCAAGTACTTTGTGGTCACAGACCCTCGACTATTGAAGAGCAACTAATTATAAAACCAGCGACAAGTAAAACTATACTTTGCAAGTATGGTTAATCGGCAACCCGGGTAATCGAGCCTTAACTGTAGTTGTTTGTGTTATTTTTTAGAAATAGAGGAGGAGAGGAGAGCGTGTGCAATCAGCTATCCAGAGAAAGTGACTTGGCCAGCCACATCTGCCCAGGAGGCTTTGGAGTTGGGGTCGGAGCAGGCAGGTGGCTGGCCCTGGGGATTTTCACGGCGGCCCACCCTGAAATCCAACGGGGTTCTCCACCTGACGTGAGCATCCATATGAGCCATGCGAAAGGCTGCTGCGACCTGTGTGATCGTAAATGCACTTTTGTCTGGGAGTGTATTGGAGCCAGTCCTTAGTGTGGCCCTTTATTATTGAGCCTTCGAAGGTCTGACAAAGCATTTTTACCCATGCTAGCTAGTTTATACCCGCTTCATTGCTTATTTGGTTATGATACAATTTTATGGTTGTATAATTGCAAACTTATGAACATTAGGCAGGAAAACCTCATCTATTTGTACCTTGACTATTCTGAAATGAAATTATTCCCAATTTTACAATTACACTAGTGTATTAATGTAGAAATATATAAAACAAATTAGTGCCTCATGTGTGAAATTTTATATAAAAATTACATGCTATTTTTATATACGAAACAAAAAAATATCAGGCATTGTTAATGTTGTTTTGCGACGCTATGCAATAAACGTTCAATTATTCACAAATGGAGGCTTTAGTGTGAAGAGATGAAGTTTGCCTCTAATTACAAAATACATTGCAATCGTCAAAAAGATTTTGTGACAAGTATTTTATTTTAATATACAGGATATATATAAAATACAATTTTTACCTCATCAATAACTGATCATTTGTTGGCACTGCTTATCAATCGCGTCAATATTGTAGACGATGTTTTTCATGACAATATACAACTTCATCCTCATTACTTAATAATTGAAATATTATTCCTGGGAGCGTCGTGGTGAGCCTGGCCACCTGAGTTCGATTCCCGGCTATGGTTACCATTGGTGGCGAGTGATATCCGAGTCGATCCAGGTCCCCCCCCTCCACCCCTTTCATCAACCTTCACTGACTAGTGTGATGTAGTATGTCTAAACCACCACGATTAACATGGTGTTAGGAGGACTTTATCCACCAGTGGATTGATAAAGGGTTCCAATTATAAAATATATTTTTAAAATACCTGATATATCAATTGGCAAAGCAACATATGTGCTGATTGCATTCACATTGTTAAAGAAGGGTTCCTTCAAATTTCTACATGAGCGTTGATTTCAGTAATCACATTAAATGCATCATAACGAGTTTATTGGAAATGTTTGGGTTAAAGCAGCGAAAGGCCGGTTGTGATAGCCCCAGCTATCGTCACGATCAAGGCCACCCCTACAATCACCAGGTTCTTCATGCCCTGTGGGAAGAAGGAAAACCACAAGTTTTTAAAATACGGATGCATGCATTACTCTGTCCAAAAATAGCTACCGTGTGCTTAGTGGCGTAGCACGGTTCGTATGAGCCCTGATACAAACAATGGAATGAGGCCCCATGTCCAATTTCCCCTTGCTTTGTAGTCCGGGAAACTGGGCCCCTCCGGCCTGCGGGCGCCAATGCTGTTGCACCGCCTGAGGACTCCACAGCTACGCCACCGTGCGTGCCTGCGTGCGTAATGTCGTCTGCGTCATGTGCAAATGTAGATGAGGCACGTTTACTACAGACCTTTATTTCCTTGAAGACAACAATTCCCCATAGTGCAGCAATAATACCGGGGATCTGCAATTACATTTAAAGAACAATTCCTAAGTCAATTTAATTTTTAAAAAGATAGGTTTCCATTTGTGGGTTAATTCTTACTCAATATTTCCCCGAACACTGTTGGCTGGCTTAAAGTAGCGATTATTGGCATAAGGCACTACCACTAGAGTACAAGATATGCTTATCCATAATAATGTTATTGTATTGTACGCTGTAATGTTTATCTATTGTACTATGAACATATTTACATTAAAAAAGGGCCAAAATAATGCAAAATAGATGTGGCATGCCAAATAAGTCCTGGAACAGCATTCCGGACAGTCCCAGCTGAAATTAATCAATGTTGAAATACAATTTCAGTATTTTAAAAATGTTCACTGCTGTTTAATACTGAAAATAAACTATCAGACAAAGCATGATCTTCATGCTATTAAATAGCACAAACGTGAATCTAAACTTTGCCGGTTGCGGTTGTTGCGAGTGCACAACGTACGGAGGTGATGATGGGAAAGCTGACAGCTGCACCCAGGTGGGTGTTCGCAAGGAACCAGCCGCAGGTGGCAATACCCCACATTGCACCAGAGGCCACGGCTCCACAAAGAGAGAAAAGGATCGTGGGGGGGGGGGTAGGGAAGTATCCAGGTTGCAGATTAATAATTAATTATCATTCACACATCTTGTACGCGAGGGTTGGTTCAATCATGAGCTGCTCCTCACGTGACTCGGTGCCCACATGACCACACACACGTAGGCAAATAAAACGATAACTTTTAAGCGATAAACACAAACAGCACATTCTAAGTCTTCACCCTCATTCTATGTAGGTAAACAATACATTTGTCTTGTAGCCAAATTGATACGTGTTTTCCATTATTTTTATTATTTTATCCTGGCGAGGTCTCCCACTCCTAATTACTCCAGACATTCGAGAGCTGACCATGTTCCCTTCAGGATAACATTTTCCATAAAATGTTACTTCCAAGCATTTCACTATTCATGTTTTACACACATTTAAGTTATCCGATGCTAATGCTTGTCACCTGGTAGCACAGCTTTCGGATAGACCTTTGGACGGTTTTTCATCGCAGCGCAGTATATGTAGAAGTACAATATGCTCGTCAGATATATTCCGCAGAAGTGGGCAAAGACGTAGTCCAGGTCTGCGAAAGCGACAAAACACAAATTTGGTTACCGATTTCCATTGGACATCGTCCATAAGCAATCATAATCACAACGTTAGTACAGGGCGAGGCTGCGTGCCCACCAAACTGGCTTGATCCGTAGTAGATGGAGCTCTTGTCTTTGCCGTGGTTCTTGATGTGGATGGTAGGAATAAAGTTGGCACCGTAGAAAACGCCGGCCACAAGAGCGAGAGAACAACCGCTGCGGATAGAGAAAGGGTTAAGTATGCAGTCACAGCCAGTTCTAGAGGGCTCGGCATTTATATGTCTACAAATTCTGTACTGCCACAGTGGTCTGATTGTCCGATTTATTGTAACTTAGATTATGATTTTATGTTTGCTGTTTGTCGACATGTTCACCGTGCAATTATTTCCTGACGTGTTGCTGTCTGCTGCAGTGCTCCATCTGTCCATACGTCCTCATTGAACAGTGGCGAGCATTGCTGTTTTTGTGCTTTTTAGTCTATCTCCTTCGGTGTTACTACTCTTGAAGATTTACATTATGAGACCTCCTTTGCCAGTAACAAGATATAGTTAGAGGTTTTACCCTTTTAACTGGCACAAAAACTGACACCTTTATTCAAGGCATCATGTTTGCAATAACCACAACACAAGCAGTCAAAATAACCACATGCAAATAACCAAATGCATTTTGACTGCTTGTGTTGTGGTTATTGCAAACATGATGCCTTGAATAAAGGTGTCAGTTTTTGTGCCAGTTAAAAGGGTAAAACCTCTAACTATACTCTTGAAGATTTCAGGGGTGCTCTTGATAACAGGTATACGGTACTTTTTGTTGCAAATCCATGATGGTTTTCGCTAAAATAAATGCCAATTTATGTTTGATAGTTTTTTATTATCATCTTAATAATTCACCTTAATACGTTTAATCTACTTACTCTCAACAAAATCCCTCTTTATCAAGGTTTTCTTCGACACCGCCCAGTTGTGTGCATTTCTAACTCCCGCTGTATTTTGCCAAAGGTTGGGAAACTTTCACACTAAGGCCTTGATAGCACCACTGGATGCTTTGCCAATAGCGAAGTTGCGAATATTGATAAGCAGATGCAAATTAGCAGCAACTAAATTCTGTAAAGTAGCCAATATTACTATCTAAATTGCGTTGTTGGGGCAGAACAATATGTTGCTACGAGTGGTTTGAAATTAAAATTACATTTTAACACACACTTACAAAAGAGTTAATATTTTACTTAATAGTATTGTCGCATCTACTTTAAACTCACACAATTTTTTTATTCAATGGGCTCAGCTTGTCCGTCCACGATTCATCAGAAGGAGACTCTTCATATCCAATGTCTACTAATTCCTATGTACAACACAGCAGAGGGGTTCAAGTTTACATTTTATTCTGTTTAACCAGCTTATCCGTAGACTGATCATAGCTCAATTACAAATTAAGTTTCGGAAAAATCAAAAAGATATAAGGTGACCATTGTACTGACATGAAATCACAAGTACTGTGAATTGTATTTGCAGATGTGATAATAATACATTTCCAGCCCTCTGTCAATCAACTCGTGGATGAAGCCCTCCCCGTGCCCTGTTGGGTCATAGGAGATTCTTGACCATATTTAACCACGCTGGTTAGTACACGTTGGTGAAGTTGTGGCAGGGAGAGAGGCTGCTCAGGCCCAGTTCAAATATTATTCGCCACTGTTAGCTGGGGCCAGGAATTGAACTCAGGTTGTCAGGTCCATAGTGCAGTGTGCACATCACTGCACTAAGCCTTCACTTTAAAATGTAAATACTGTAATACATTTTAATTATAAATGTTTTAAAATTATGATTGCTTAGTACAGGTCCAAAGGCCCAAGCGATCACCAACAAACAGCACTATTTACCGAAAGAACCAAAGAGTAATTCCTGCAGTCACGAAAGCTCCAAATCAAGCAAGCACTATTTAAGCTACAATAGATAACAGTTAATACACTTGTCGAATGCAGCAAGGTTACATACAAACTTGGGAAAAGAGAAAATGAAGCAGAATGATACGTGTTTTGACCTGCATTGCGGTGATTGAACACAACATGGATGCGATGAAACGGTCAGTCTGGTAGAATGAGCCCTCTATCAGTGAAGGGATTAATGAGTGCAGTTCATGGGACTTGTTACCATGGTGGTAGCGATATAGGAGTATTAAGAAAGAGACTGACTGCCGGTGAGCGAGCAAATGGAGTGAATTCGTGAGTGCTGGATCATCGATGAAGCTCACTTCTTTATTTTGAAATGCATGTAATGCTGTCACTGAAGTAGGATACCTCGGTGGAGTTCACAATGTTGTTTTGGTTTTCCCTCACTTCTGTACTTTGGTTGCTCACTTCAGTTTTCACAAACAAAAATATAAATGACCTGTTGACAGTCGAACACAATCACAAGTGAAGCAACATGGCATGTTTCTTGTTTATGTAAGGCACAAGATTTGCTCTATTTGTAGACACGTGTCAGTGCACTGCACAGGACCTTATAATGGACAGTCCTGTCCCAACATAGTTGAGTGTTGTATTTGGAACAATTTCTGGGTCCAAGCCAAACCAACCAAACCTAAAAGAAAAAAACACGATAAATCATACATACAACCGGTGGCGGAAAATTAAACTCTCCTCAAATATTGCTTCGAGATTAGTATAATGCAAGCCATGAGGTATGACACATGCAGTAATCCGATTTTTTTTAAAGAATCTGTTATTTTGATTGTGAATTGTATATCTCCTACACCATTAAATAATAAAGAATAGCCGACACTTCAAACTACAGTCACCAATCTCAAACCACGGGCCACATAGTAACACGCCACTACCCACTATGATCATTCGCAGGCAGCATTTCAGATATTCACCAATCTCGACATGTGCATGCAAGCATTACTGATCAACTCCCCACGATACAAAAGACGGTTGTTGTTAATTTGTTTATGTAAAGTGCAACGTGAAATATACAACAGCCAAGAACCTCGGGGATTGGACAAAAGCCAGACGTATTAAAGCTTGGGATAGCTAATGTTAATTATCCCTTAACTACTCACTCACTACTTAATTGGTAATAACCACATAGCATCGTCGTCCGTTGCTAGCAGACCCATTTCTATATTCAGGCCAGTGCTGCGTACACCTCGCTAGACTGCAGCATTGCATTGGGATGGTTGACATGACATGTTATGTAAGGCTCTTTGAGATGCTGGGGGCTTATAAGTACCCTATAAATTCATATAATAAATTATTACACTCCATTTGCCTCTCATGCAACACCCTCTGATGTTTTGTACCTTTCGATTGAGAAAATCGTAATGTTGTTTTATTGTCATATCAGAACCTCATGTTGCTGCAACTCTAGTAGTACAGTGAAACCTTGGATTGCGAGCATAATTCGTTCTGGAAACGTGCTCGCAATCCAAAGCACTCGTGTATCAAAGCGTATTTCCCCATAAGAAATAATGGAAACTCAGATGATTCGTTTCACAACCCAAAAATACTGTGTTCATATAAAAATTATTAATACAAAATACCTTTTATGTTTTGATTATTTAAATTTAATATAAAGTAATCAAATGTATTAATTACATGTAATCGTGGCTGGTGTAAGGGAGACGAGAGAGGGGAGAGGAGGAGGAGGGTTATTGTGTAGGACGACTTTCACATAGATGGACTCGTCCATCTGAACAAAGCTCGTCGCTTTCCGTGGTGCTAACATTGAAAAGAAAAAGAAACCGCCACTTTTTCTGACATAGATACATGCTAATCCCTCACACTAACATTATGCGAATCTCCCAGTTACATGCAAAGTTACTCGCAATCCAAGGTTTCACTGTGCTTATACAACTCTTAATGCCGATGCTGGGAGTTTGGTGTGCACCATTGTATGATCGTATACCTTGAACTGGCCCAGCCCACGATGAGGTTGGATGAAGTCCAGATGAGAAATCCAAGTCCAAGGCCGATCGTCTTTATTATTGGAACTGTGGCAATGTTGCCTGTATGACATTAAATTTCGATTTAAAGATTTCGTGACTGCAAGGATTCATTTTCTTTGGTTCTTTCGGTAAAGTCACGTAGAATGAGAATAAAATGAGGAAATAAAATAAGACAATAAAATTGTCACGACGTTTCGGCCACAACACAAGTAGCCTTATTCAGGTGAAAGAACAGAACTATCGGGACGACAGAGCTTGAATGAACGCTGTTAAGATTCGTAGCGTCTTTTGAGCTCGGTGAGAGGCGCGGAGAGCCTTGACAAAGGAGTTTACCTATCAAAGTAGGAGAATTTAGCATTGAAATAGCTGAGGGATTAGCTTGTGACAGAAATAGCTGTGTTAAAGTCAAAGTTTACATATCAACAGAGGCATTTAGTATATGGACACTAAAGGCCTCCAACTACCAACTATCATAAAGTAAACCGATGTGAAAAAAACTAAATCTATATTACATCAATATAATAAATGTACTTAATATATTCTTCAATAAGCTGAGCTATTAATCACAAAGCAACTGGGTATACACTACACTATATAATGAATACCATATAGTAAACCAATAAAAACAAAATATAAGCTCCCTCAATGTTATCAATAAACTCTATATACTCTCCAATCAGTTGAGCCACCAACAATAAGTCGTTATATATCAATGCCATATGGCGACGTTCAGGCGGACGAGTCAATCCATGCTCGGAACGGAGGAGGGGGGAGAGGGATACAACTACAATGCACTGTTATACTCAATGTTATCAACCATACCATTAACCGTGGTGTGAGAGGTATTAAGAGGCAATGCCAGCGAAAGAGATGCGGTCTGACGGTCACCGTAAAATACAATTAATTAAGAACCAAAATGGTTTAAAACATCTTTCCAATGGTTACTAAGCCAGAATCCATCTTCTCGGTTGAAATTGTCTCTGTACTTGTATATGTGGATGGCCTCATGAACGAATCTCTCATGGTAGCCAGTTGGCTTGCAAAGAACCTCCGTCTTGGAGAAGTCAATGTCATGTGAACCCACTGAATTATAACAGTGATCTGCCACGGCAGAAGAATTCGTCCTACCATGTTTCAAGTCTGCTTTATGTTCGCGGATGCGGTCCCAGATATGTCGTTTGGTTTCCCCAATGTAGTTGCTACCACAGAGGCACTTTAGTTTGTAAACGCCGGGGTACTGTATGTCTGGAACAGCATCTTTTACAGATGGAACCAGATCACGGATTTTATGTACTGTGTTGAATCGGACCTGGATCTTGTGTTTATTCAGGATTTTGGAGATATTTTTAGTGACCCCTGCAATGTAGGGTAAGGTGATGGTTTTGAGTGGCTCCGCAAGAGGATCCTTCTTCATGACTGGAGTGATGGCTTTGCGGATTGTGTAGTCAGAGTAACCATTAGCCCTGAGAGCCTGGTGTACGTGCTTGAGTTCACTGGCAATGTGTTCCTGGTCGAAAATGCATTGGGCTCTATGGTATAGAGTCTTGATGAGAGAGTTCTTCTGGGATGGATGGTGGTGGGAATCCGGTTTCAAGTAAGCATCTGTATGGGTAGCTTTTCTGTAGACAGAATGGCTCATTGAACCATCAGGTCTCCTTTTAATTAAGACATCCAAAAAGGGTAGCTTGCCATCTTTTTCGACCTCCATGGTAAATCTGATGGATGGGTGTATGGAATTGATGTGGTCGAGAAATTGGTCTAGAGCAGGCTGGCCATGTGGTCAGATGACAAAAGTGTCATCCACGTACCTCTTCCATAAGGTCGGGCGTAGAGTGGCAGTCTGGATGGCGTCAGTTTCAATTTTTTTTCCATGAATACGTTGGCTACAACCGGAGACAGGGGTGAGCCCATTGGGGTGCCCTCAGTCTGTTTGTAGAAAGTTCCATTCCAGGTGAAGTATGTGTTGGTTAAGCAATGTCTCACCAGGGGGGTACATCAGTATGCAGTCCTTGATGAACCAAGTCTTCAATGATTGCGAAGGTGTCAGGTACCGGAACTTTGTTGAATAAGGACACCACATCAAAACTGACAAGCAGGTCGTCTGGGGACAGGGAAATGCCTTTGATTGTCGATACCAGGTGAGTAGAATTTAGTACAGCAGAGGTGGTTTTTCCAGTGAAAGGTCACAGTATATCAGCCAGAAAACGTGCCAGTTTATAGGTGGGGGAGTTGATAGTAGAGACGACGGGACGAAGGGGTGTATCTTCTTTGTGGATCTTTGGGAGGCCATATAATCTTAGTGGTCTGGCAGCAGAGGGTTTCAACGAGAACTGTTTGGTCTGATCAATTAATGCTGTTGAATCAGAGATTATTTTGTTCGTTTTGGTAAGCAGGCTGTTGGTGGGATCTCTTTTTATTTTTGTATAGCTGCCATCGTTGAGTAGTTCTTGAATTTTGTTGTTATATTCTGTTTTGTCCATGATGACAGTGGCATTGCCCTTGTCGGCTGATAGGACAACAATATCATCTCTCTTTTTTAATTGAGATAATTCAAAGCGTTCATCTTTGCTGATGTTGCTAGGTGGCATCTTAGCGTTTTTGAGGGTTGCAGCAATTTCAGATCTTGCTACGTCTGCAGAGATGTGACTCAAGCCCTTGAGTGCAACGTCGACATGGGCAATGATATCATTAACTGGTATGTGTCTCGGTGTGACAGCAAAGTTTAGCCCTTTAGCTGGGACGGATTTCAGGCCATCAGAAATGGAACTGTTACTGCGATTAATTACGACTTTGTTAACGTCTATCTTTTCGGTGTGTGGATCCAATTTTTTGTTGGAGAGGCGGTTAAATTTGGAAATCAAATTGTCCCTACATTTGGTCGACATAGTGGCAGCCGAAGAGGTAGTCATATTGTCTACATATTCGCAATCTGATGTAGACATTGTTGCTGTCAATGTTAAGTGTGATTTGTAGAGTATCTTGTCTAACTGATCTAGTTCGGTGCGTATATATCTGATTTTTTCGGAGATAAGAGCTAAGCTAGATCTAGCTAGAATTCGTTTTGCATTAAAGGAAGTTGCAGCAGCAGAGGTTAGTGTAAATGCGGTTGGTATTACCTTAGAGTCGCGGCCTCTCTTCAGAAAGGTGAGAGACTCACCTTTCTGAAGAGAGGTCGAAAAAGATGGCAAGCTACCCTTTTTGGATGTCTTAATTAAAAGGAGATCTGATGGTTCAATGAGTCATTCTGTCTACAGAAAAGCTACCCAAACAGATGCTTACTTGAAACCGGATTCCCACCACCATCCATCCCAGAAGAACTCTCTCATCAAGACTCTATACCATAGAGCCCAATGCATTTCCGACCAGGAACACATTGCCAGTGAACTCAAGCACATACATCAGGCTCTCAGGGCTAATGGTTACTCCGACTACACAATCCGCAAAGCCATCACTCTAGTCATGAAGCAGGATCCTCTTGAGGAGCCACTCAAAACCATCACCTTACCCTACATTGCAGGGGTCACTAAAAAGATCTCCAAAATCCTGAATAAACACAAAATCCAGGTCCGATTCAACACAGTACATAAAATCCGTGATCTGGTTCCATCTGTAAAAGATGCTGTTCCAGACATACAGTACCCAGGCATTTACAAACTAAAGTGCCTCTGTGGTAGCAACTACATTGGGGAAACCAAACGACATATCTCAGACCGCATCCGCGAACATAAAGCAGACTTGAAACACGGTAGGACGAATTCTTCTGTGGGTTCACATGACATTGACTTCTCCAAGACGCAGGTTCTTTGCAAGCCAACTGGCTACCATGAGAGATTCGTTCATGAGGCCATTCACATATACAAACACAGAGACAATTTCAACCGAGAAGATGGATTCTGGCTTAGTAACCATTGGAAAGATGTTTTAAACCATTTCGGTTCTTAATTAATTGTATTTTACGGTGACCGTCAGACCGCAGCTCTTTCGCTGGCATTGCCTCTTAATACCTCTCAAACCACGATTAATGGTATGGTTGATAACATGGAGTATAACAGCGCATTGTAGTTGTTTCCCTCTCCCCCCTCCTCCGTTCCGAGCATGGATTGACTCATCCGCCTGAACGTCGCCATATGGCATGGATATATAACGACTTATTGTTGGTGGCTCAACTGATTGGAGAGTATATAGAGTTTATTGATAACATTGAGGGAGCTTATATTTTGTTTTTTTATTGGTTTACTCTATGGTATTCATTATATAGTGTAGTGTATACCCAGCTGCTTTGTGATTAATAGCTCAGCTTATTGAAGAATATATTAAGTACATTTATTATATTGATGTCATATAGATTTAGTTTTTTCACATCGGTTTACTTTATGATAGTTGGTAGTTGGAGGCCTTTAGTGTCCATATACTAAATGCCTCTGTTGATATGTAAACTTTGACTTTAACACAGATATTTCTGTCACAAGCTAATCCCTCAGCTATTTCAATGCTAAATTTTCCTGCTTTGATAGGTAAACTCCTTTGTCAAGGCTCTCCACGCCTCTCACCAAGCTTAAAAGACGCTACGAATCTTAACAGCGTTCATTCAAGCTCTGTCGTCCCGACAGTTCTGTTCTTTCACCTGAAGAAGGCTACTTGTGTTGTGGCCGAAACGTCGTGAGAATTTTATTGTCTTATTTTATTTTATTATTTTATTCTCATTCTACGTGACTTTACCGAAAGAACCAAAGAAGATGTATGACATTACCCAAGGATATTAATGACACTGCAAATGAGCAAAATTTCAACACTTTCATCGATAACACTGCCCTATAAGGGGAAAAATCTATATCACAAGTGCAATTTCAGGTAATGACCTTTCTTCATAGCAGAGATTATCTTAATATTTATTGTCGTTTTAGGTTAGTGTCATTAATAACTGTGTAAACTTTTTATTGTGCGCCACTGCTTGACGCAGTATCATAAAAAAACGAGTAAGCGGTTCAATCTAGATTTGAAGTTTTTGTGACTGCAGGGATCCATGCTATTTGGTTCTTTCGGTAAAATCATGTAGGTAGAAACTAAAATAAATTAAATCACGACGTTTCGATTGCAACACAAGCAATCATGATTGATTATATACCTACGTAACTTTACCGAAAGAACCAAAGACTATGAGTAAGCGGTTGCTCAATAACAGCAAGATATTGTGAGAGCACGATAACAAATTAATACATTTGTGTCCAGCGTGGCTGGTCAGTAAATATCTTGTTTGGGGTACAATAGCAAGCCCGGATGCAGCTCATCTTGGATGGGGGGCCAGTAGAGGTGTTGTGTGGGCCACCGTAACAATGACAAACCACTAAGGAGAGTGAAGTTCGGTGATGCCAAAGGGATATTTTGTGGTGCAGGGCCCACCCCAGTACCTCCCTAGCACCGGCCTTGTAAGTAAGCCTGCAGGGGTGAGTGAAGGGGAGTGTATGCAGGTCATAATGTTTATAATTCGCAGGCAATTGTTGTTAGCGGTTTTCTCTTTTAACGAGTAAGGTCTGGCCTCGCCGTCCCCGAATAACGAGCCATCACTGCATGTGTCTCACCTGTGGCCCAGAGGAATCCACCCAGCATAGCGAGTGGCCAAAACTCTGGGCAGTGCTGAATGAAATTTGAGACCAGTCCCACCAGCCAGATGGAGGTGCACATCGCCCACTGAAAGAACATTCCTGTGCCAAAAAGGATAATATATAACACAATATTTTCAGTAAATGCCGGTATTAACCACAAAACACATGCCACCTGCTTCGGTGAATGTTAAAGATCCATGACATCCCAAAGTTGGTAATTACAATTGGCAGTCTGATGCCGACTTGCAGTATGGTGTTGTTTCACCCTGTGCCCCAAAGGACACGTTCCAATTAGGGGGTCCTCTAGTCTAACAATAAAACTAGTTGCTGGGACGTTTAATTAGATTATGGGTGCAATATAAATGCAGGTATTATTTATTATATACATGTTGTATATGTAGATTAAGTCTAACATTAGGTAACACAGGAGAGACCTTTGCGTAAACTAAAGTTTGAGCTTTGTGTAAAAACTGACAGCTTTGCAACATGAATAAATATTTTTTGAGTTTAATCCAGAATTATGCAACCAAATTGGAGATTAACTTTTGAATGACATCTATGCCAAATGCAGGGCACAACTTAAAATACAAAAGTTATTACTATTACTTGCAAGTAGTGTTTCAATTATACAAAATGTTTACATTATGCTCAGTGGAAATTCTTACACCTGGGTTTGTGCCAGAAAGTTTAGTTGCGATAAGACATCCCATCAGTAATTCAATTCATTGTGGTTGCAATTTAATTCAAGAATTATATTTTTTGCATTGCTGCTCGATTTTTGTCTAATTTGACAGTTGCATTATCTTCATTAGCCTAAATGTAACAACGTAGAATATTTCGATTTAAAGCTGTCGTGACTGCAGGGATTCATCTTCTTGGTTCTTTCGGTAAAGTCACGTAGAATGGAAATAAAATAATAAAAATAAACATAATAAAATAAAATTCTCACGACGTTTTGGCCACAACACAAGTAGCCTTCTTCTGCTCTGAAGGAACAGAACTTTCGGGACGACAGTTCTGTTCCTTCACCTGAAGAAGGCTACTTGTGTTGTGGCCGAAACGTCGTGAGAATTTTATTTTACTATGTTTAATTTTTATTATTTGATTCCATTCTATGTGACTTTACCGAAAGAACCACGAAAACGTAGAATATGTATAAAAGCAATTGATTCTCACGCGCACAATTAAATGCACGTATCATGGGCATAAGAATACATTTTAGTTGCGATCATCTAATAAGACCTCCCTCTAATGCAGGGTTGGGGCACCTTTTCCTTGACAGAGTGCTTAATACAGAGGGCCAAATTCCTTAGAGAGGGCCTTAAGAGTGCTGACTTTCAAATACTTTTGGTGAGCATCCACACATTAATGCACACGTACATCTCAGTCACTTCCGTCACTGCAAAATACCCTAGCAGTGAGAGAAGTCACCTAGCACGCTAAAATGATAAAGTGTTGATGGAGCGAAAATTGTCCGCTCTCGTTTCTGATTAGTGCGGCGAAGATTATTTCGTTGACAGATATAGATCTTTTGTGGGCCATTTACAAATGGAAGGTGTCATGTCGCTGTTGGTCGTTTGAAATTATGTGGTGGGTTAGTTACAGACGATGGGCCATATGTTCCCTACCCCTGCTCTTAATACAATGATGCTGAAACTTTGTGTCGAACGATACGCGTTACCGGCAAGTACGCATCACTTGTGTACAGCAGAGTCGTGTTCTTTGCAGTTACGCTCACCATCACCAGTGTCAAACTTCTTAACGGGAACAAAGTTGCTCCCATAGAAGACGCTTGTTATCGCTGCAGCTGTAAATCCGATGGCCATGTTTTGGTTGGAGGTTCCATTGTTCTCTGCCGTGCACGCTCCGTCGCAAGAGGAGGAGTTCTCCGAACCTGGGAGGGATGCAGTGAAGAGGAAGCAGTGGCGCTGAATCGTACACTGCCATTGCACAAATCCTAACAACACTCATCATCACCAACAAAAGCACATTTAGAGTTACATATGTAATGTCTAAATGTGACCACAACCTGAGATGCTGTGGAGAAACAATATACTCATAAAAACACACACATCGGAGAGCTACATGGCATTTACGTTGCATTGAGAATAACGAAGCGCCAACAGGAGTATTGGTTTTCCTATTTCAAGAACACAAGCTCCTGAGCTTGGGAATCGTTTTGTAATTTGGGGATTGTAAGTAGCTTTGTTGGGCCACCTCATTGATCGAATTGTGAGCACCATTTTTGTTTCACAATTGATTTTGTCAGATCGCGTGAGTAAAATGTGTGTCGTACACCCTCCTCCACCTGACACAATAATGTTTTCACGTGATAAACAAACGTGCCAATTTATTACTACCAGTAGAATGTGATCTTTGCCTTTATCATGACCTGTTTCTGTATTATGTTTACCCTGCTTTGGCAGTCTTATATATGTTGCTGACGATGAAAATATAATTTATTAGCTTTTGATGTTTCGAACAAGATTGTACGATATTTTTGGTCAATTATTTACCCAGCTTACGATCAATAATGGTCAATAATAAAATTCGATCAATAATACGATTCGTAATTAATTTATTGTGGGTTAGATCATTTAGGTGCAATGTCTATGGATACTCACCTGGTTAAGAAAAAAGTTAAAATCGATCATCCAAGTCTATATTAATAGAATGGGCAACACAAAAAACATACAAGCAAAAATGTACAAGCACTCTTAATGATTAATACAAAAATTGACTGCCCTTTGTCAACACAGTGATGGAAAGACTCCCCCTTGCAGTGTTTAGTCGTTTTGTTCATGACGCCTGTTTGACCAAACTTTACCACGCCGATCAGTGTGGGTTGAGTTATGGGGAAAGACGGGGAAGTAAAGTGCTCGGAACCCGTTCAGACATCACTCGCCACTGATGTTCGCCGTGCCCTGGGAATTCCCCAAGGCGCCCATAGGCTACAAGACGTCTTAAACTGGACGAATTAAAAGGCGATGTTAGATTCATAATGCCGGGTTTTTTTTGTTAGATCGCGTAAATGTGTCGTTAAACCCACCACCACCCGACACAGCCAATTAGTGAGGTTTGTCACGTAAACAGAACATGCCAATTCGTTACGAGCACAGCACACCGGTGTGTTGGAGAGCAATTCCACAACATTTACAATCTTGAGTACGACGTTTTCGCCAGGAATTACAACGGGCATCAGGCGGCAGCCAGATTTGACGTTAGGCGCTGAAATGCCCGGGACTTTCCGCTAGAGGGGACGCCAGCCAAGCCGACAATGAACAATAAACATGCGGGCTGTTAATTAAACACAAGGGTCGATTTGAAACTGCTCATCTGTGAGAGGTCCAAGCACGGGAACGATCGAGTCGCCGGGATGAAAGCCCCCCCCCCCAAAGTGTATTTGACAGGACAGGATAAAACTCGCACAAGCACACATTCCACCACACACACACTCCACCACACACACACACTCCACCACACACACTCCACCACACACACTCCACCACACACACACTCCACCACACACACACTCCACCACACACACACACACTCCACCACACACACTCCACCACACACACACTCCACCACACACACACTCCACCACACACACACTCCACCATACACACATACTCCACCACACACACACCCCCCCGCCTTCGCCAAACCGGCACTGAACCAAAGGTGGTGAAGTATGGACAAACAACCAACACGACCCGTTGCAGCGTTGGAGATGCCCCTCATCAAGTCATGTATTGTCAATAAACAGTCCTGCACAAAGACAAATATCCCCTGTATAGCCTCCAATAGACTTGGAGCAAGTGCTGTTAACGAGCACCTTTGTAGGCCGGAACGGCACACGAGGGGGGGGGGGTGGGTGACCGGCACCACGCCCGGCCGCCTTTGTCTCTCCCCTAGTGGCGATTGTTTTACGCACACGGCGCCGGTTACTTCGGACTCACCACTCTGAGCGAGCACCGGTGGCACCATCAGCAGTGGCACCAGCAGCAGCAGCAGACCGGGTGGGATCAGCGTGCTGCCCATTGTCACGCGGTCTCCGGAGATGATGATGATGCTGGTGGTGGTGCTGACGATGATCGGCGATGTGCTGGCTTATTTACATCATGAATAGAGCCATGAACGAACCCGAACTTTATGGCTTCGAGGCGGAGTGAGGGAGACATCACGGGACTCGTCTTCCGGGCAGGGAGGTGTCGGCGAGTAACGGAGGCGGACCTCGATCCAACAACGAGCCAATCCCTCTTCCTCAACATCATCATCCTCAGACATGCTCTATCCACTGCTGGATGAAGGCTTCCCCCACAAGCGGTCGTCTGTCACTTCTCTCCATGCCGTGACGGTCATAGGGGTTATTTAAATGTATTGTCATGAATGCATTCACACACGAATGGTTTTAAATGTCACGTTTATAGACTGAAAGTATACCGTGTCGTGCAAGACTGTTAAATGTCAAAATCGGTTCGGAGTTTGCTCGTGTTGAACCATATCTCTTGTTGGGTTATGCATTCCCAGAAAGCCGTGTGGCTGATGAGATGTGTAAAAAATACTGAATTGCGTTTTAATAGTGGAATGTTTGTACGCCCATTGAAAAATTGGGAGCTGAAAACATAAAGCGTTTGACAAACAAGAGACCGGTTTGTAAGTTGCTACCAAAGAGCTCAATGGTTTGGCCGAGTGCTCTCAGCACGGGTTATCAAACACACTAAGCACATGTAATGGCTGGGATAAACAATCACCACCACAGTTTTTATAATTATATATCCAATATACCTGTACCAGAGCAGCGGTCACTGTGACGCTCTGCCGGCGCTTTGCCGGCGTCAGGAATTGTGTAGTTCTTCTGTGACGCTTTGCCGGCGCTTTGCCGGCGTCACAGTGACCCTGGATTTGAACCCGGGCAGTGATAAAAACCTGTCTTTCAAGTGTCGCAAGTTGATGGTCTCAGTCCGGTAAAAAAACATGTCGATGCAAAATAAGATCGAGTTTAATTCGTTGTGACGCTTTTGCTAAAATCCTCGCGTTGAAAAATATTTAAAAAATTTAGTGACAAGCTAGATAGATAGATAGATCCTTTATTGGCATTGTCACCAGTACAACGAAATTTAAAGTGCTCACCAGTCAGTACATCATTCATAAATTTAAATAAATAAAACAAGAGATAAAAATAAGATAAAATAAAAGATAATAAATTTTATATATAAAAACTACCCAAGTATACCCACATAAAAGTACATTTTATCATTGCACATCCCTATTTTAGTCAATTGTAAACAGTATTACTTAATAATTAATTAGCAGTATTGAGTGTGGTAATTGCTGCAGGATAAAAGCTGTGTTTGAATCTGTTTGTCCTTGTTTTGACTGATCTGAATCGTCTGCCTGATGGCAACAGCTCAAACAGAGAGTGAACAGGGTGAGAAGAGTCCTTTATAATGTTCTTCGCTTTTTCGATGCAACGGGAATTGTGTAGTTCTTCCAATGTGGGGAGAGAGCACCCGGCGATTTTTTGGGCCCTGTTGATGATCCTCTGCAGCGCTTTCCTCTGAGCCACTGTGCAGCCAGTGTACCATACACAGATGCAGTATGTAAGAATGCTCTCGATGGAAGCTTGGTAGAAGGACACCAGCAGTTTCTGTGTGATGTTATTCTTCCTGAGTATTCTCAGGAAGTAAAGTCTCTGCTGGGCCTTTTTCAGTAGCTCAGAGGTGTTGGCGCTCCAGGTCAGGCCCTCCCCAATGTGGACTCCCAGGAAGCGGAAGACTGCCACCCTCTCCACACAGTCCCCGTTGATGGTTAGTGGTGGAGTGTCCGTTTTCTTTCTCCTGTAGTCTATTATGAGCTCCTTGGTCTTTGCGGTGTTAAGGAGCAGGTTGTTGCCCCTGCACCATGCTGTCAGCCGCTCCACCTCGTCCCTGTAGACAAACTCATCCCCCCCAGAGATGAGCCCCACCACTGTGGTGTCATCAGCAAACTTCACAATGGTGTTACTATGGTGGACGGGGGCACAGTCATGTGTGTAGAGGGAGTAGAGCAGGGGGCTGAGTACACAGCCCTGGGGGGAGCCAGTACTGAGGCTCAGTGCTGTGGATGTATGACGGCCCACTCTGACCCTCTGTCTGCGGCCCGAGAGGAAGCTATGTATCCACATGCAGGTGGAATGTGGAAGCCCCAGGTCGCCCAGTTTTACCAACAGTTTGTGTGGGAGGATGGTGTTGAACGCAGAACTGTAATCTACGAAGAGCATCCGCACACAGCTCCCCTGCTGCTCCAGGTGTGACAGTGCAGCATGCAGTGCTGTGGCCACGGCGTCCTCCGTGGATCGGTTCGCTCTGTAGACAAACTGGTGGGGGTCAAGGCTTCGGGGCAATGTTGCAATAATGTGACTCCGGACTAGTTTTTCAAAGCACTTCAACACCACTGGCGTCAGTGCTACTGGCCGATAGTCGTTGAGGCTGGAAATGTGGGTTTTTTTCGGCAGGGGGACTATGGTGGAGGACTTTAGGCAGGGTGGTACCGTGGACTGTTCCAGAGACAGGTTGAAAATCCTTGTGAAGACTCCAGCCAGCTCATCAGCACAGTCCCTCAGCACACGTCCCGGGACGCCATCAGGTCCCGCAGCCTTCCTCGGGTTGACGGCCCGCAGCATACGCCTCACCTCATGCTCCTCTACTGTGAGGTTCAAGCTGCTGTGGACCGTGGAGTTTGGTGATGCTGTCCCTGGTGGTGTCACCTCAAAGCGGGTAAAGAAGAGGTTCAACTCCTCTGCCAGAGCGGTGTCACCATCAGCAGCTCCGAGGTTGGCCCTGTAGTTGGTGAGGTGCTGGACTCCCTGCCACACCTGCCTGCTGTCGTTACTGTCCAGGCGTTCCTCAATCCTCCTCCTGTAGTCTGCTTTGGCCTCAAGGATGCCTCTCTTCAGGTTAGCTCGGGCTGTGCTGTAGAGAGCTTTGTCTCGGGATTTGAAGGCGATGTTCCTCTCCTTCAGCAGCTGCTGGACCTCCCGGGTCATCCAGGGCTTCTGGTTGGAGTAGACCCGAATGCGTTTGTCCACAGTGACAGTGTCTATGCAGTTTTTAATGTAGCACAATACACTATCTGTGAACACCTCTAGGTCCTGATGTTCGAAGACTCCCCCAGTTGGTTCTATCAAAGCAGTCCTGCAGCTGTTGGGTGGCACCCTCAGGCCAGGTGGCGACAGTTTTTGTGATGGTAGGAGCCGTCTTCTTGATGGGGGCGTATGCAGGGATCAAAAGCAGGGACAAATGGTCAGACTGGCCCAGGTGTGGTAGTGGTCTAGCCATGTAGCCTAGTTTGATGTTGGTGTAGACCTTGTCCAGAGTCTTAGTTCCCCTAGTAGCACACTTAACATGCTGGTGGAATCTAGGGAGTGCTGCCTTTAAGTCTGCATGGTTGAAATCCCCTGCTATAATCTGCACAGCGTCAGGATACTTGCTCTGCTGAATGCTAATGCTGCCATGTAAAAGTCCAATAGCTGAGTTAGCATTAGCATCTGGTGGGATGTAAACAGCAGTTATCATGACCACAGTAAACTCTCTTGGGAGGTAAATGGGCCTGCATTTAACAGTCACATACTCCAGATCTGAGGAGCAGTGGCTGTCTAAAGTCACTGTGTTAGTACACCAGCTGTTATTCACGAACACACAGAACCCCCCTCCTCTGCTCTTACCGGAGTCTACTGTTCTGTCATGGCGCTGTACTGTGTAGCCTGCTAGCTCAATAGCAGAGTCCTGGATGGATGCATGAAGCCAGGTTTCTGTGTTGAGCAGAATGCAGCTGTCCTTCACTACGTTGTTCGCTGTAGTCTGTAGCCTCAGTTCATCCATTTTGTTCGCGAGGGATCTGGCATTCGTAAGAAATACGCTGGGTAGCGGTGGTTTGAGTGACTGCCTCCGTAGCCTGGCTAGCGCACCGGCCCTGCAGCCTCGCTTCTGCCTTCTCTCTCTACATCGCCTTCGCCTCCTCCACGGAGAGCCTTGGCTCCTCGCCAACTCCACCAGAATCTTGTGAAGACGGAGAAACTCGCTTGTAACACTCCGTAACATAGTCCGATCTTAAGGGGATCGTGCCGACTAAAGGTGTTACTTGGCCGACAAAATGTGCACAAAACATAATGCGTACATAAACAACCATACAAGACATAAACATAAACAACCATACAAGGCACCGACCGGGTAGACACTTAGCTGCTGCAACTGTGTGCGCCGCCATCACTAGCATTCATCATAGAATGATAACGTTTTATTCGTTCAAGTCACGTAGATAAAATAAAACAAAATAAAAGAAAACAATTAAATCACGACGTTTCGGAGGCAACACAAGCTTCCGTCTTCAGGTGGAATAGTCACAGCAGAATATCTGTGTCAGGAGCACAGTTCAGAGACGACCGGGATTATATACAGGTTAAGGGGGGGGGGAGGAGTCAGTTAGGGGCGTGGGAGGGCTGGGTTAAGCAGCCTTTTGATAGACTGCAGGGGGTTCGAGAGGAGGGGATGGTGTACTGCAAGAGAGCGGGTAAAACCCACTTCGCACTAAACGAGAGTGGGTAAAACCCACCTTTTGTTATGCTGCGTGGGGGGTCGGGGGGAGGACGAGACATACTGCATGTGCACAGCTCCATTTTTTGAAAGCGGCGACAAACGGCTGTTCAATTATAAGGTAGCTAAAGTTTGATATACAACCACTGAGAAAAGGAAATGGCTGTACAAAAAATTAAAAGGCCGCTAACGTTTGACTTGATTTATAACATCTTTCCAGTGGTTGCTCAATTTGAAACCATCCTCTCGGTTGAAGTTGTGTCTGTGTTTGCCATCCAGATTTACAAACAGTCGTGTCGGTGGGGGCCCCCTCTCTCAAGCGTTCATGATATTCATCATAGACAGAGAAAGTTGTTTTTATATATAAATATCATTTTACATATGGAAGACTTAATTGAAGACGACATTTCGTGGGAATTTACTCTCGTCGTTAAGTAGATGGCCTTGCTTGGGGGTTCGGTTCGATGCGGACTTTCACCTGGTTGGGATTGCGGGATCGAGATAAGAGGCCGTCCATAAATTACGTCACGCGATTTTGGACGATTTTTGACCCCCCCCCCCTTCGTCACACGTCACAAAAAGTAAGACCCCCCCCTCAAATATGACGTCACAAAGCTCTGCACCCCCCCCCCCCCCACAAAATAAAACATGCTTCAAATCGTTTCGATTTAAAGCTTTCGTGACTGCAATGATTCATCTTCTTTGGTTCTTTCGGTAAAGTCACGACGTGACGTGACTTTACCGAAAGAACCAAAGAAGATGCTTCAAATCGCTTTAAATTATTGTCATTGTAGTGCGTAGTTATTGTGGCGCTGCACTCTGATGTAAGAGAAAACATTTATTAAAAAGTTTATTTAATTAAGTAGAACGTGTTGTCTATATTTAAAGTTGCGCATTTTTATGTGACGTCACATTTCTCACCACCCCCCCCCTCATCACACATCGTCACAAATGTCTGACCCCCCCCCCCCCCCCAGGTGCGTGACGTCATTTATGGACGTCCCCTAAGGCGTCATAGAGCTGGCCGCCGTGCGAGAAGACCGCCGTCTGCAGATCGATTCCAACGCAATCGAGCGTCTGTCCCTGCGACGCCGTCGTTCATGCAGGGGGCGCGTAGTTTTGCAGCGCCCCCTGCATGAAAACGTAGGGGAAGTGCAGCGTGGAGATGAATATTCATCTTCATCTCCATATATATAAAAGGCAACATGTGTCTGTTCACAATGTTTAGCGTACTTCCCGACATGCAACAAACTTGAAATTTGCCATGTGGGTACTTTTCAGACTGTACACCATGCAAAAAATATACAAATACACTTTTTGGGGGGGGGGGGGCTCAATAATAAATGTATTTTTTTGCACGGTGAGCTGTGACGTCAAATCTGTCACGTGACCCGCGCACGTGGAAGCGTAACGCATTGTAGTGTAGTGGTTAGCGCGCTGTCTGTGTATCTGTGTGTGTCTGTCTGTGTGTATCTGTGTGTGTGTGTATGTGTGGCCTCAGGGTGCACATTGCCTGGCACAAGCGTCGTGACGTCACCGCCACTTAGTGGCGAATGGCGGTTGTTGTTGTCTGTGTGTGTATGGAGGGAGCGGTGGTGTAGCGGTTAGTGCGCTGCGCTACGAACCCGGCCACCCGAGTTCGATTCCCGCTTACGGCCACCACCGGTGACGATTATTTTAACCAGTCCTGGGCCTCCTCAGCCTCAAAACGAGTAACTGCTGGGCGTGGTGGATCCAAGTCCCGGGCGAAGCCGGGTAGTACAGCCCGTCACAGTTAAAGTTGTGCGTTTATATTATTTAAAACAAGTAGTAAAAAATACTTTTACATTTTATGTGCAGGGACAGATCTACGATGGAAGCATATTGTCTGCTTATTTATTTTGTTACTTATATTTCCCACAAGTAAATTACAATTGTTATGCATTATGTAATATTGTGTTGAACTCGGACCCATTTCTAACATCTTGCATCTGGGAAAAAAAAAAACTTTATAGCTCATCGCATTCCTCCAGTATAAATACATATATTCTGATTCTGTATATATGGAGTTTATATGAAGATAACATTCTCAGGGCAACTGGACGAGACAAGTTTTCCTTTCGCTCAACATTTTTATGCTGATAATTAATTGCTGCTGCTGCAAGCTACAACTGTATCAGTTTTAACAGTTTACAACATATTATCAGTACTGAGAATAAGTGTTTGACGAAGTATCGGACACACGAGGACTACTCGCGAAGCTTAAGGCAACAACCTGTAACCACGGCTGCACAATGGCAGTAGATGGCGATACTTGATGATGCACAAGTGGGAAATAAAACTATACAACTATCTCCCAGAACGTAAAACATAACGGAACCATGGAATGTACGCATGTACGAAGATCCCATTATTCCAGCAGCGATACAACCACCTTAAGTGCATGTAAGATTACACAGCTCTTTGCTCAACATTAACATCAGCCAGACGTCGAAGACCTGTCCCTCTCTCGGCTGTCACGCGTTGACTCACAGCCAGAGCCGTCCCGAGGCTAAGGCGAATCGGGGCGACCGCCCTAGGCCCCGCGCTTTGGGGGGGGGGGGGGGGGGGCGCGCTTCGACGTCGCGTCGGGGAGATTCGCCCCTATGCTGACAGCTCACAGCTCTCATTCACCACTCCTTTTTTTACAATTAACTGTAACAATTAAAAACGTTTAAACTCGTATTCTAGCACCGACGCGTTAAACGATGCTCATTAAACACACACACACGCGCGTGCGCACGATCTCGCGGGCGAGATAATCGATTAGGAGGCCGATTGATAATCGTTGGAAGCCGCAACCCCACGGGCACGTGGGACCGCATCGACTCGCTCTGCGCTCGCCTCGCCGCCCTTGGCGCCAGCACAGCAGGCGGAGCAGGCGGAGCAATCGAGCCCCGAGTCGCCGATCGCTCAAGGACAACAACAGCAGCAGCAACATGCTCGCCCTCGCGCAGAGGTTACTCGCCAGGCCGCCGCCGCCTCGGCTGCTGCAAAGTAAGAGTTTTATACACGCGTGCTTTCAAACTCGGGGTGGTTTTGTGTCAACGGGGATATCCCGCTACCGATTCGTAAGTGTTTGGTTTTAATTGTTTGCCGAGTTTGGCTTCCGCTGAGCAGTCACCGTTGCTAGGCGAGTCCGAGGCTTTCGTTAATCTTAGGCCAAAGTCACGAGGTAAAGTGAAAGCTGCGAGCAACGAAATTGGTCTGTGTCTCCATATATAAATATGATCATCTACCTGTCAACCCCTTATCAGTGCCTACCTTATTCCTGCCCTTGTAAATCACAACGTTCATCCTACAAAGTCCCATCACAAGGGAGAAACACATAATACTGTAATGGCTGTACGCCGCATGGACCTAAAAACTCAATTTCCCTGCACAAGAATACGGGTAAACCGTATGGGTTGACAAGTATATGACCAGTTCAATAGTCTTTTGGCTTTCCAGACCAATTGCATGAGTATAATTATCAAGCAGCATGTGTTTAAGCATGCAAATGCTGCTGTGGACCGGTTTCGACATTTTGAGTCTCGTCAGCAGTTTGTGAAACGGATGCTGCCCGAGTTACCTGATGTTACCAAATGCACTCCCATCTAAACTGTGGGACACCCAGTAAAGTAAACATGTTAATGTATTTTTTATTTAGATTTTACGTTTCGGTCCATTCCTCCTTCCAGGGTTACGTGCTATGGCTGTTATTGGGTGTCGTTTGTTGCTAGGACGTGCGTGTTTATTATAGTTATTCGGGCGAGATTAATGACGGAGTGGCAGCGAAAATAGAGAACGTCCCAAAGGACGTCCAGCTTAGAGAGAGGAGCGATGTCAGCTTGTGTTACAGGTGCTAGGTGTAGGTTGTTACCTATCAACGGCCTGGGGAGAGGCCTTGGTCCAGAAATTGAATGATCATGGCCGGTGATGGAAGGCTGCATTTGGCGGGTTGCTTCGCCAGTATTCGTATTTCACGCCGAGGCTAAAATCATCATCAGCGATGTCTGTGTATTGTATTCCACGACGGATCCCCGTGCCATCGTCATCACAATGTTCTCTTATGTATGACCTTATCCACGGCTGTAAGGCGATTTCTCGTGCCCTCATCTCTTACTACCTTGCACTGTAATGTCATGTCTCGTCTACTCCTGCTCCTAAATTTGTCTCATAGCTCCACTTACACACGTATACACATTCCTTCATACATTGTATGTACACGTCTGACATTGTTCATGGACTATTGGATGGACGCTGTCTAAATTGACTTGCTTGGAAGCTTGTGTGCAAAGGCAGCTGTCAAAATGAGAACCTGCATCGCAGCTGTGGAGGTGGGGGCCTGAAATCGCAGCAAGGTGCTTGCAGTGACTGGGGGGGGGGGGGGGGTACCTGTTCTGTGGAGTCTAATTTATCCCAAATTGTTATTACGGACAGGTTTCTCTCGGAGGAAGTTCACGGCCATGGCGCCGGATTATACGAAGCCCAACTGGCCAGGCGTGGTGGCCTACGTGTCGGGCACGGTGCTGCTGTGGGGCCTGGTGAGGCACTTGCACGTGACTACAGTTTCTGCGGATACAGTTAGCTTTGAAAAAATATATTTTGGAAAATAAAAAATGCTGTTCATATTAAAAAGGACTTGCAAAATCAATCGGATGGAAAATGACTGCTTTAGAAATGTATATCCCACTCAAGGGTAAAATTGTACATTTAATTTGTTGATTGCATTTGACAGTAAATGATATTTCTATTTGATTACAGATTAATGTAAGCTACTTTTAAAATGAATGTGTAGCCCTGTTTTCAATTCAGTGCTCGATGAAGGTCTCCCCTTATCCGGTCAGTCGTGAGATTGTATGACCATACTGGTCAGCACATGTAAGCCAAGGTGGGGGCCTGGAAATTACTCATATCACTGGTCAATTATATGAGCCAGGGCCATGAATTCAACTCAGGACAATGGGTTCATATCACACATCATGACGCATACATCAATGTAAATTATACCAGATAGGATCTAAAACAATATTTTGGGGATAATTATGCAACGTTTATCTTTTTTGCTATTTCTGTATGTAAATATACCATCTGGACGACTAACCCTGTTAATCGCTTTCATGCATTTGACAACAATTTATAGCACCGAAATTTGTGTTCCCCACAGCTACTGAAGCAGAACAGCACTGACTGGGCTGAGTATGAGAAGCGACGTGGCATAGCCAAGTGAGTTTTAAGTTGATCACTGCCATATTCTTTGCCTAATTTGTACTAGCTTTCGTAAGATGGTGTTGAAAGTTTTACGTTTCATAAATATACAAGCACTTTATTAAGTGTCAAATGAATGGTAGATATGTATTTTGTATTAATAATATTAAATGTTCTCTTTCAGACAATGAGGAGCCAAATGGCATTTTCATGTAAGAATGTGACCATGCAGAAGAGTTGCTGCAAGAATATTCCTGTCAGAGTATAAATTCCCCTGTTGTGAGAACTATGTAACATATACATGAGTTGGATTCTGTGAAATATTCAACACAAGTTGTTAAACATTTATTTTTACATCAACTAAATGTTAACAACTATGGTAAAAACAAAACTGTGTCACGTGACAGAACTGTATGACTAAATAAATATAAAACATTCACAGTGTTCTGTACATTTCATTTGTCAATTATTTAAGTCCATTTATATAAAATATGTATATACATTTATTTTATGATTTTTTTTATATAGTGTTGACATGGCTAGTATTTTTGGGGAATACACATGTAAAACAAATGCACTCAGTTTTTGTGCCCCGAGTCATCCTTTGCAGACTTCTTGGGCTTCTTCCCTATTTTTCCATCAATTCTTGGGAACAGCAGCCCAGAGTCTGACCCCAGCTTCTGGCCACCGTGCAGGCAGGTGCGCCCTCGGTATGCATCGAAGCATGTCAAAGACTCCCAGGAACGCTCTCGGGAGCCAGCGTGGTGACCCGGGATGCCGAGTCGGTCGAGAAGCTTGCTCGCCAGGCCCGGCACAGCGGGTTGCAGCAGAATGCCGCAAACACGCAGAGTCTCCATTGCAACGTGCAGCACCGTGTCATGCCACATCTTACCATGGCTGCTGCTGCCTGGTTCCCTGTCCTCTGAAAACACAGGAGTATTATCCAGGTCATGTACATCATGTGCATATATAGCTCTTTTTGTCAATCCACTGCTGCTTTGTGGGTCATGGTAACCTGACCATACTTCATACTTTTGATTTAAAGCTTTCGTGACTGCAGTAATTCATATTCTTAGTTTTTTCGGTAAAGTCACGTTGAAGAGAAACAACAAAATAACAAAATATATATAAAACAATAAAAAAAATTCTCACGACGTTTCGACCATAACTCAAACGGTCATCATCAGGTGTGTCGGTTTGCATAAATTTATTTTGAAAACGGCATATTTATTTATATATATAAAAATAACGTTTGCGTCACGCGCAACGATTGGCAGTTTGCCCAGGACTAGTCCATCTATTTTTTGAAAAGAGGAGGGGGGAGACGAAATTTGTTTTTATGTATGCTGTCTGAAAGCCACTGTAAGCGTGAACAATCAATCAAGAACTGAAATGATTTATCAAATCTTTCCAATGATTGCTAAGATAGAATCCATCTTCTTGGTTGAAATTGTCTCTGTGCTTGTATATTTGGATAGCCTCATGAACGAATCTCTCATGGAAGCCAGATGGCTTACAAAGAACCTCCGTCTTGGAAAAGTCAATGGCATGTGAGCCTACTGAATTAGAACAATGATCTGCTACGGCCGAGGTGTTGGTCCTACCGTGTTTAAGGTCTGCTTTATGTTCACGAATGCGGTCCGAGATATGGCGTTTTATATATATTTTGTTATTTTGTTGTTTCTCTTCAACGTGACTTTACCGAAAAAACTAAGAATATACTTCATACTGTCAATGTGGGTTGGTGAAGACAATAGTACAATTTATTTGGCCGCACAGCTTAACAACCTGTTGTGCATGGCAGTTAACCATCCAACTATTTGGACTGAACCCTGGTTAGATTTAGACATCTGGACAGCATGGGTAAAATCTGGGTTATTTGATCATTTATTTGCCAGGTACCATCAACATTTTAAAACAAATGTAATTAACAATTCTATTCAAATTGACTGGTGTGGTTGCAAGGTACTACGCTACCTTGATCAGAAGGCGGTGTAATTTTCCATGGAGCGTGGCGCTGCACGAACGCATTGCCTTTGTGCAAGCAGGCAGCGATGGCATCCAGCGCCTGATACACAGCCGCTCTGTCATAGCAGTCTTGTACAACGGCTGGCAAATTCTCAACGCTTGTAATGAGCTCATAGTCGCTTGATGTCAAGTGAGGCAGCCCAGTCTCGGTACTTGTGTGATTTTTCTCAGGGAACAATGGCCGATGGAATTGAGGGAAAATCTGTTCCGGATTTAAGGCTGGAGCCACACACCTGTTGGAAGCAATTGTTTTTCAAACACGGTGATCCTGCCATTTCATATGTATGCCTTTAAGTAGCACATCTCTTATCACTTGCACAAAATGTAACGCTAATGTTTACAAAAAAATACCTTAAGCTTGTCGCATTATTTCAGTTTTGCAAAATTGCAGTGATCTACCGCATATTAATGAAAGGCCATCTTTGGTTGTGTTCAATTTTAATGCAGACTAATTTGATACCTGTTAAGAAGTCCTCCTAACGTGCCTGAAAGCTCAGCATTGAGCATTTTTTCCACCTTTTCAGGGTAGTAATCCCCATCCGATTCCGGCACACCTTGACGCAGCAAAAAATACCGAAGCCCATCGGCAGAGTACCTTAAAAAAAACACCGAATTTGCAGTTATTGTCTTTATATTTGATTTTAAAAAATGTAAATGATTAATTCACATATAGCATAGCCATTATATGAACTTTCTTGGCTATTCTAAAATAATTTTCATTCAGTGATTTAAGATCGATTTGATTTTAACACCTGAAGCAGCAAATGAACCAAACCTACCTGTTGATGTCCTCATTGGGGTCCACAGAATTGCCTAGACTCTTGGACATCTTGCGTCCGGCAACAGTCCAGTGGGAGTGTACTAGGAGGCGACGAGGAGGCTCCAATCCTGCAGCCATGAGGAATGCTGGCCAGTACAGAGCATGGAACTTTAAGATGTCTTTACCCAGAACATGGAGGTCACAGGGCCACCACTCTCCATAACCTGTCGAGTAAAACAGATCAAGCCAACAATTACTCTTTAGTCCATGCAGCCCATGGCACATGTGGCCTAGCAACAATTGCATGTTATGGCAGGGGTGGAGGAATATTTTTGCGCCTGTGGGTTAGGGAATAGGACTTTCAAATGCATTTGGCAGGCCATACAGTAACAAACACCTCAGTCACTTATGTCACTGAAAGATGCCCATGCAGCAATAAGACGTCACGGAGTGCACCAACATAACCAGTGTTATTCTCAGGCTGAATATATTCTCCGTCTAGTGGTTACGATGCAGTGAATGTTAAATAGTTTTGCAGGCCATTTCCAAGTGCTAGTCCACGTGTGCCATGGGCTGCATGAAATGATGAGGCCCATGGGTGGTCGATGGCCCAACCATGCTATATACTGCAGTGCACATAGGAACAAAAATAATATATTTTTCAGAATCAGACAATGTAAAAATCGCTTCTTACCCTCATCGGGATAGCCTGTGATGGTCAGGTAGTTAACGAGCGCATCGAGCCAGACGTAGATGGTTTGAGTAGGGTCGTCAGGAACAGGGATGCCCCACTGCAGGCGGGCATGTGGTCGAGATACTGACAGGTCGGGAAGCCCTTCATGTAACCACTGGAGTGCCAGCTGACGAAACTTCTCCGGAAAGACGGGATGTGGTTCTGTTTGCAGCCATGCTTCTATCTTCGGTGTAAATGTCGATAATCTGTTTGGGAGAAAAAACACAATGGACATAAAACACCTGTTACAAGTCATGCCAGTCGGCTGCAAGCACGTATCTATAATACTGCATTATAAATACGTCAAAAACACACCAGAGAGCTAAATAGATATCTATAATGCTTCACTAAACCTGAATATGTAATTGTCCTCCGAGGTCCAGTCCACTGGGTGGCCGCTTTCTGCCGACACCTTGATGGGCTTGCCTTGTGGGTCAACTCCGTCCGTGACCTGTGCATTCGCCAGGAAGCTCTCCTCCGCTGTGCAGTACCAGCCCTCGTAGCTGCCGCGGTGAATGTGTCCGCCGTCACGCAGCTTGCGCCAGAAATAGTTCACGGCCCTGAAATGTCGCGGCTCCGTCGTGCGCACCCAGTCCGTGTGGCCCACGTTGGCGGCCGCAAAGAGGGCCTTGAATCGCTCCGATACGGACGTGCAGAACTTGGCCGGGGCCTGCCTCGCCTGCACGGCCGCTTGCTGTATTTTAAGGCCATGCTCGTCCGTGCCTGGCACATGCAAGTACAGCATACATGTACAGGCGGTGTGCATTGATGTGTAGTGCAGTATATAGTACACCATTGACGTCTACAACACGACCTCTTCTGCTGCCCACAACGTAACTGCAATATAATTCGTATTTTTATATATAACATTTCGATGTGATCATATCTCAAGATGGTGAAAACAATAGGATGGATTATTTTTTGTGGGGAGGTAGCATTTTGTAAACGAGGTGGAAATCGTTGGAAGTCAGCATGCCGAGTCTGACTTCAAGTACTAGCAGCAACTGAAGTGCATTAAAATGCTGCGGTTTTTGTACTTTGCATTTTCAATGGCTCATGGTGTATGATTATCTTTAACAGTGACGGAGATATACTACATTGTCATCATGACAGCATTTTGCTCTCCATGTAAGATTAAAAAAATATAAACAAAACCCACAGGTGGAAAGATTCTGGTCGGCAGGTCACGTTGAGGTTTGCAAACACGGGCTAGGCGATGAACAAGTCTGCATGGAGCCCCTTGAAATCCGTGATGGGTTTCCCCGGGTACTACGGTTTTATCCCACACGAAATAAAGCACTCATTATTTAAAGGCTTTGGTCAAACATTCCAAATGCAGAACTCTCGAGGCTCGTTGAGGCTTTTGTGGATACATGACAAGTGAGGTACCAATTCCCGACACACGAGGCACCCCAAATGTCACCCCTGAGCGCCGCCTCCTCGCCCGTCCTCACCGCTGGAGAAGCGGACCCTGTGCCCGCACAGAGCCTGGCGTCGCTGCAGGCAGTCGGCCAGCGTCACCGAGTAGAGATGTCCGATGTGCGGCGCCGCGTTCACGTAGAATATCGGGGTGCTCACGTAGAAGCGCGGCGTCGCGTTTGACGTCTCCACGGTGGCAGCCTCGCATCCTCCTCGTCCACCACCTCCTGCCTCGCCGGCGCAGTCCGTCCCGCTTGCCCGACACGGGTTGAAACCCGGACCCCGAGACCAGCCTCGTCGACTGCGCGACAACTCTCGGACAATGGCAACTCCGAGGCAACGCATGGTATCGATGGTGATGAAGGTCAACACAGACGAAACCGCGGTCCCATTCAATAACGAAGCAGAGGCATCTACACCACGGCTCTACCGGGGTCGGGGACAAGCCAATTAACTGACCGCGGTTGTGGCGCCGCGTCCACGCAGCCCCTAAACTAGCACGGTGGAGGAGGCGGTCAAACACGTGGAGTCGCGAGGTCTGCGACCTCTACACTCTGACCTACCTCCATGCAGATAGGTTCAATGGGCTCAACGGCACCGCGCAGGTGTGGGGGGGGGTGGTAACGAGCAATTAGTACTCGGTCATGAGCGGTGGCGCCGATGTTGACATCGCCAAGTGCGGGCGCGTCGAGAACGCCTCGCTCAAGGACGGAAGGCGGAACCACGTGGCCGGGACGGGCACATTGGAATACCTAGCGCGCATAGGGGCGGGTGCCTCCGCCCTCGCTTGCGCCGATTGGCTCCGTTGCTCGGCAAGCGGCCAATGGCGCGCGAGCCACCGGGGACGGGACTCGACCAATCGCGTCGCGCGAGTGTCCCCACGGCCGCGCTTTTACAACGTAGCTTTTCAAATCGTTTGATTCACAGGCGCCGACAGAAGGGGGGAAGAGGGGAGGGGAAGGGGGGAAGGGGGAGCTCATCGAACGGTCGCGCTGCCGCCATCTTGGTCAGGGAATCCCGTGCGGCCCCGCCCCGTGCGTGACGCTTTCAGAGCGCGCCAAACCGTTCAAAACTCCACCGTCGTCCCCCAACGTAAGATGGCCGACCCGGCGCGCGCGTGATCCGTCGTAGAGATGACATCCCGCGTCTGGCGCGCGTGGTGAGTGGGAGGGGGGTGACTTGGAAGCGGCCATCGTGGTGAGAGAGAGCCACAGCAGCGGACGCGTGCCACCCGCCGCCACCGCCACCGCCACACACAATGTACCGCTGCCGCGCCGTGTGCGAGAGGATCGCCCCCGTAGCGCGATCCTCCGCCTCCTCCTCGTCCTGCTGCTGGAGGCTCGCGTCGCGGAACGTCGGCCGCAATGGTGAGAACGCGTTGGGGAGCCTGCTGCATGTTAGAATGTACCGGAGGTCTCTGCTGATGCCCTAAGTCTCCTCATTCTGTCATTATTTTACACCACCCGCTCCTCACTCGTCCTCCTCACTCGTCCTCCCTCTTTCCCTCAACTTTGCTGACCGCTCAGCGCCAGGTAATGGCTGTGGCGTGGAGCCAGTGGCTTAGAAGGAACCGGGGTTTGTGCCAAGGTCACCCCGTCCAATGACGCCCATTCCATTGGCCTCTCGGTGCTTATGGTTACGTTGATGGCTTACTGCGGTGGTAATTGTCTCCCATTATAGTTTTCTCTTAATGCTTTCTGCGTGCAATACAACACTGACGTGCGCAGGTGCTAGCTGCTAGGCGGATTATTCCACCGTAAGAGATAGCGATTTTGGGGAGGATTTCATCCAGCAGTGGAATAACCATGGCCGATGATAATACCACTCGAGTGAAAACTCATCACCTTTGACACCGGACACTATCAGGGGAGAACACTGAAATAAGGTCATTGCCCTAACCCTCGGCTTGCCTGCTGTGTGTACGTTTGTGTTGCCATCATAATGACCATCGCTTAATGCGGGGAGTGTACGCTGCTCTTGATTTTAGTACAGACGATGAGTGTATTGGGTGAGAGATATGGTTTTTTTGTCCTTTATGCTGGAGTAGATGAATGCTGTCTGTTGCGGTTTGATGTGAATGTTGTTGAAAGGCATTGGGAGGAAATCTAGTTTGCATAATGGATTAGTAGTTATTCATGCAGTGCAGCCAGACTTAGAACCCTTTGTGCATAGCTTTGGACGAATTATATTTCGGTGCAGTGACATTAAAAAAACACCTTGCTTAACAGCAGTGGCGGTGAATAATTGTTGAAAACGTTATCCCTACCGCAAAATATGTTCTTTTATAAGGCAGTGTCAGGAATTGCAAGTTAGAGTTATACAACAGCAATGATGTTATATTCTTGGTTCTTTCGGAAAAGTCACAGAAGGGAAACAATATTATTTTATTGTTTCCCTTCTACGTGTTAAAATATATAATCATGAAGGTTTTTGGGTTATATTGCGTAAGTATAAATGTGTCGTAACCCCTCCACCACCCGACACAGCCAATAAAGTTTGGAGAGTAAATCCACAACATTTACAATATATATATGCCTGCTACAAATAAACATCGCGAGTCAACGAGACACCCTAACCCTATCTCCCCATCTGCAGCGTGTCTTCGAAATGCCAGGCTCATTCAGGGGTGCGGTTGCCCCCAGGATTTCTCATTCCCTCACAACCCCCTCATTTCCATGAAGGTCAAATTAGTTCATTGGCAGCTTTTAATGGTATTTGAAATTTAATTGTAAATGGCATTGTTTTTTTTTGCTCCAAAATGTTTTGAATAAATACAAAAGGTAAAACATCACAAGCCAATTCCAGAACGGACAGTCCAATTTACAGTGGTTACTGGACAGCACAGGACTAAACTGGAAACAGCCTGGCGTGTATTGTTACCGCGCAGCGTGGAGCTGCAGTAAGTCAGAATTTCTGTGCACACTATTTAGTGTTGAGCTTTGAGGGTGCAATTTGTATGATGTACGTTAAACTTCTTTCTCACCGCACGCAGCCAACCATGCTAATCTTTGATTTAAAAAAATGCAGGTTCTCAGTAGATGGTGGCAGCTTGGGGAGACCTTCATGGAGCAGTGGATTGATCATGGCTGATGATGAGTCCACCCCAAAACATTTTTCAGGACATTGTATGACTGCCCACACTTTCGAGGACACACTGTTCCGATCTTAACTTGATTTGATGCTTTCATGACTGCAGGAATTACTCTTTGGTTTTTTCGGTAAAGTCACGTATAAATAAGAAATAATAAAATTAAATAATAGTATACATACGACGTTTTGATTGCAACGCAAGCAATCATCATCAGGTATAGAAGAGCTAAATTTAAGAGAGAGAGGAACCACAGAGAGTTGGAGAAGCACATCAAATTGAACAGGATTTAGTATTATATTATTTCTAAATTTACTAAATCTTGTTCAATTTGATGTGCTTCTCCATCTCTCTGTGTTCCGATCTTGTCAATGTGAATGTGCCTAGGAGCTGCCCTTGGCGATGTTTTCACCGCTCGTCATTGTATTTGTTGCGCTTATACTTATTGTGGCAGTGTCCAGCCTGGCGAGGAGGCAGGGCGAGGGCTTCGCTCAGCTGCGTGCCACCCGGGCCATGTCCTCCGGCGGCGTCCCCGGGGGAAGCCTGACAAATGTGCTCATGTATGGCGCCATGGGGCTCTCCGGGATCGGAGCCGTTGTCTACGTGAGTCCCACGAGCCACCACTTGTCCCGATTCCTCTTTTGAGAATTAGCGACCATTGACTCTTCAGCCTGTGGCCAAATCCCTAAAAATGGGCTCGATATTGTCATATTCTGGAAGCTAAGCAAGTTGGAATGTCCAGAGTGCCTTCGTGTCTGCCTGCCATGCATAGCACAGGTGTTATCGGCTGCGATTGTTTCGCTGTACTTTTTATGTTCCATGCACATTCCCAACTTTCACCAACCCACACAGACTAGCATGGCGAAGTAACCACCATGACCCACACGGCGTGGGGATGCTCTCATCGAGCGGTGGATCGATAAACAGGGGCTGTGCATGTACGGACATGCGGTTGTTCAGGAGGGGTTCGTTACAGGATCGGTGTCCCGCAGGCATACAACATCCTGCACGGAGATGCCAGCAGATACCGGGATACGCTTACTTACCTGAACAAGAAGCAGATTGAGCAGGAGTGGAAACCGAAGCCGTGGCCCCCCGCTGGTGAGTAAAGAGTCCCAGTTCAATGCTTAGTGCTGTCCATTATACAACAGAATTTGGGTAAAGGCGATGCCGTAGCTGATCACATTTCTCATATAAGCACCACACATCCAACCAGCAGCCGCCATGATTAATACTACGGGTGTGTATACCGTAAGATACACGTAGGCCCTTGTGTGCAGGCATCGGCGGTCCAAATTTGTGAAATTTGAAAATGTACCTGCAAATTACTCAATTGGAATATACATAATCATCATTATTACTGCACAAACTTGGCAGGACCCTCCTGAAGCAGAGTCACGAGACTCGGGGACGCACATCTGGCAGTGCTACCGAGGAATGTTTTGTCGTTGAATTGTCGGGCTGTGGGTGAAGTATAGCCAAATAACTCCCATGACTGACACTGCATGTGGAGGCCATCATCCAGCAGTGGAACGACAATGGATTGTAAATAATTGTTTTATTATTTGTATGAATGAATTCCAATAACTTAGCGAATCTCTGCCTTGCAGAACAGTTGCAGTGTATATTTAGTGCAGGTGCATCGTGTGAGCTTATTCTGAATCACGCGAGTCTAAATTTAGCTTCATACTGGTTGCGTTGGTCAAGGAAAGTGGGTTAGAGTTAAAAGTAGTTTTCATCCATTGGCTTAGAATGGTGCGTTTGTCATACCTAATGTATACGGTTGCCTATATTAAAAATGTGCTTTTTTTGTTTTTCAGAGGAAGAAGAGGGTGCTGAAGATGAAACAGGTTAGTCTGAAGGAGACTTTTAATATATTTAAAACTTCTGCATTTCGAAACATCACTAAAGCAGCCGAAAATACATTTTGCTCTTGACTATTGTAGCTGTGCTATTTTGCATGCTGATTTTAATGGAGTCTGATCTCACATCTACTTTTTAATTCAGAACATCACATATGACATTTAATGCTTTGGGGTTATATCTGGTAAAGATTAATCACTTAAAAAGTACACACAGGGAAGCTCGTGTTTACTGTTATGAATTATCCATTTTCATGTGTTTTTTTCAAGTGTGGTAGTTGGATTTTTGCCATTTTGAGCATTTCTTACCAGAAAAAACATTTGCTTAAAAAAAGTAAACAATTTACACCAGGGGCATAATTGCTCTCTGAAGGCCAGCGTTGGCTTTACTTTTAAAAATAAAGCAAAAACAATCTGCTGGCCCCAATACAAGAAACGGCCGGGTGGCTCAGAGGTCAGAGCAAGGCGCTACCACCGTTGAGATCCTGGGTTCTATTCCAGGCAGCAGTCCATGACTAAACTAGGTTCTGAAGTTTAGTGAGATGATGGTCTCTGCCCGGTCGCCGATAAAACTTTGCAAAAAGATAGTTTGTTAAATTTAGTTTTGAACTTCGTTCAGATAAAATTATTTGGTTAAATGGCAGCTCTGAAAATTTTAAAATACCATCGGTTTGACTGTCTTGCGACAAATGGTCCCATAGCAGCGGTTGTGGGAAAGTGCCTCCCGTATAATGTGTATTGATAAAAATCCACTTGGGGTTTTAGAGAAGGCCTGTGAAAAATGTATCCTGTGCATCACGCTGCGCTACGGGAGTGCACTGCTTTTGCGAGATAGATTATTCAATTGAGAAAAATGACAACAAAATTCACAACCGCTTATCCAGCTGTTGACTAACATTAGCAAATATTTTGCTTAATCATTAATATGTGGTGAGTTCACTTCACGGTTTACAGAGAACAATTTACATTGTAGCGGGACCT